TTTTTTTTTTTTTTTTTTTTTTTGTGGGTACCAGGGACTGAACTCGGGACCTTATGCTTGCAAGGAAGGCTGTGGAACCACTGAGCTAAATCCCCAGCCAGGCTTAATTTCAATACATAAAGGAAGCACACCAGTGGTGCAGCAGAAAAAGCACAGGATTTTGAGCTATTTCACAGATGAGGACCATAGTTTTGAAATGATAGATGCAAATTCCTGGGACACAGTGAGTACTCAATAAAAATGCTTATAATGAAAGTGACATTTAAAAAAGATTTTTCTCATCACACTATTTATAAAAGCACCCTGCCCAGATAGTACTTTTTGACATCTCTGCCATGGTCAGCACTCAGTATATTTGTTCCATTTCATTTTCACTATGAAATGCCTGGGTCTGGATATATCATGAGTTCACAGGGAAAAAGGAGTAGCAACTCTCAGTTGTCCAGCATTCTCTGTGTATTATTGAACCCCTGAAGTCTAAGAAAGAAAAATCATTTGTCTGCATTATTTATTTATTTATGTACCAGAGATCAAACTCGGGACCCTGCACTTGCGAGGCAGGCGGTGAACCACTGAGCTAAATCCCTGGCCCAAGAAAAAATCATTTATTGCTGATCATTTGCCCTGAATTTTCATCTTGACTTCATTTATTTATGGCTCAAAAGGCAGCAAACTGACTCAAAAGCAAAAGTCTATATTTTGCTATCATTCATTATGTCAACTAAGGACAGATGTAGAATTATTAATACTGGTTTTTGACTCACTAATAATAGGTCATTATCATTAAAGCTCATAAATAATGTACTTTAGAGTATCTTCTGGCACTTCTTTGCCTTAATGGCCTACTTTCTTGAGTTATTGTTCTCAAAGGAGGCAATGCAGTAAACTAAAAAGACTTGCTGGTCTGTCGAAGAATCAAATTTCTTTTTCAAAAAAGATGTAAGTCCCTCTTGCCTTCCTGAGCCTGTCTCCTCACCTTTTACAGGGCTCTCTCTCCTTGTTTCTCCCACTTCCTTCCTGAGCTCTGGCCAGGGGTTAAGTGTCTCTTACACTTTACAAGACAACCAGCAAAGCAAGCCCACCCCAGAGCAATGATTCAGAATACGTACTAGCTTGCGAGAGTGTCTTCTCCAGGCTCTCACCCCATCTCTCCCCTTCCTGCAGAGTCCTGACACGCTCTTCCGCCACCGACACCTCTGTGAGCACCTGGTCCAGTTTGCTTTTCTGGTCCAGCAACTCTTTTTCCAGCTGGTGCTGCTCCTCCTTCAGTGTCACTTTACTGGCTTCTAATTTTTTTCCTTCACTTTCTGTCTCTTTCTGGAGTCTCTGAAAATTCTTAATAAAGAGTAGCCTTAGTCATAAAATAACAAATATGGTATGCCAGATGAACGCGAGACAGATACCAGTTCAACAGAAGAGAGAAGCAAAAGGTCAGAGGGGAGAAGGGACAGGGCAGAAAGAGAAAGATCCTCTGCAGAGGTGGCCAAATCTGACCAGCACAGGAAGAGAGGATGCAAGCAGTAAATGGCACATGGCCACTAAGTTTCTTTACAAGACCTGTGTCTTGTGACTTTAACAGCTCCTAATTTATATTAATCCCAAAAGAGTCCCACAGCTGATGTAAAAACCACCCCTGGTTACACAAGCAGTTAAAAGACACACAGTCCTGTGAGGCATATTTCTCAGCAGTTTTTGCCACAGGGAAAGGGTTCACACAAGTAACAGAATAGTTCCTTTCAATCAAAAATGTGTAGTACCATTTCCTGCTGGTCTAGCTTGAGCTTGTTTTCTTCAATTTCATTCTGAAGCACTTGAAGTTGTTGCTGTTTTGTCTCCATTTCTTTTTGACAGTCCCCAACCTTCTCTGTCCATTCACTGATGTCCTTCTGGAGTCTGCTCTGCTCACTACGCAGTACATCCTGGCGCTTGCTGGTGTGAAGCAGGTCCTTTAGGGGAAAGAACAAATTGAAATTATTCATACAGCCACCTTTACAAGGGGTGACCGGTGCCGGACACCTACCACGTCTGACAAAATGAGAAGCATCAAGGTTTCATATCCTTTATCATCTCAACAAACTTACAGAAAGGTCCAGACTCAATTACTAGCTTTTCTCTCTAGCCAGTAAAATAAGATGGCAAAACCTCAGCAAAAGACTCAGTTTCTCTCAAATTTACCTACCTTGTCACTGAGAAGGGAATATATAACATTCACCTCACATGATCCTTAAGAAAATTAAGGGAAACTATCAAAAAGGCTTACTTCTTATTGAAAATAAACCTAACATCATTGTTGTTACTATTTGAAATATTTATACAGGTTCAAAAAGTCAGAAAATAATAAATATCTCTTTAAGGAACACAAATTAAGCATTTTTGAAAGATTTAACCATCTTTTAACACAGAAAATATTCCTAAGAAACTAAGTACAATTTTTAGAAGACTACTTTGATTTTAAGGGGTTTCTTTTTTCTTTTTTTCCAGTACCAGGAATCAAACTCACAACCTTGCATTTGCAAGGCAGGCATGGTGCCACTAAACTAAATCTCTGGCCTGATTTTAAGTTTTTTTTATGTCTTAAGAGACAGAATCTTAAAGGTACAAGGAAGAGAATTTAGATATTTAACTTCTAATGTCTATAGTTAGAAACAGGCCTAGAATTTTCCTGTTGGTCTCTGAAATTCAAATTATAGCACTATTTTCTCAGTACAACACTGAATTACCTTTAGGAAGATCCTCAGAAGTACAGGGGTCAAGGATCTGCTCTACTCAGCATTTGACTCTGCAACTTAAGGAGTAATGACTAATCAAATCTAAGCCCAGACTGGAGGCCCCACCTGTGCTCTGGAGAAGAGGTGGTGTCTCTGGTCCCAAAAGCCACAGGGTTGCTGAGGAACTGTGCTCGGCTCTGGTCTGGCCACCATCTTACTTACTGGTAATTTTACTAGTAATTATTTTACATTGAATAAAATTGTTTTAATCAAGAGTTCTAGGGCTAAACTAAATTCAAAAACCACTGGTCTGTACCAAAATTATTTGCTGTCTGTATGGGGAACTGCTGGTGTGAAAAGGAACCAAACTTCTTGACTTTTTTTCACTATGTCAAGCAAGTATCTACATGCCTTCAGGATATTAACATTACACTTCTTAACCTTACCTGTTTTGCTAGATTCAAATGGTCCTGGACATTAGCTAGTTCCTTCTGTAGTGAGTTTACTCCTTCTCGTTTTTCTATAGAAACATAATTTTCATAAAATAAAAATAAGTATGTATACATGCCAGTCCCCAAATGATACAGAAAAAGTGAATTTAAACTTATTTTGGTTAAATGAATGACGGTGCCACCTATCTTATTAAAGGCCAAAAGAGTTACATGCATAACCCAGATTTGGGCTTGGATCCCAGGTTTTTAAAGACTTTTTCATTCAAAACCTTTCAATAAAAAATTTGCAGCTAATAATTTTAGTGAGATAACACAGTTTAAAAATAGGTATTTTGTACATTGCTGTTAAAAATGGCAACTACTAGTTGTAACCTTGAGAGAAATCGCAAGAAGATTGCTCATCCATAGATGAGTAAAGTAAGTCTCTATCTCATAAAAACATTATAAGAATTAAATGAAAAAATGCAGTATGTGTAGGACACAGTAAAAGCTCAACATATATATTATACAGAAACTTTGCCTAAATAAATCATGAATATTTACAAAGGTTTTGTAACCCTCTCTCGTCTCGGAAAAATCCACAAGGTCAGTTTCTCTTTCTCTCTCTCAGCACTGAGGTTTTGAACTTGGGACTTGCACTTGCAAGGCAGGCAGGCGGCGGAACCACTGAGCTAAATCCCTGGCCCAATATGGAAGGGTAGTTAAATTGTTAATAGGAAGTATCTGAGTGGTGAGGTCAACAGTAATTTTTCTTTCATCTTTTTTGCTGTTTTAAACTGTTCTTTAAAGATATGAATTAAAAAATGGAAACAAAGTCTGCAAATAGGGAAAGGTGAAGTGGGTAAAGGGAGGGCAGGGGTATGGGGAAAAAATAAGAACCAAGACATATCATGTAAAGGTATAAGATCCCAATGATAAATGTACCTGCATTGTTTGCTTTAAATGTACCAATAAACAACGGGGGGAAAAAGTTACAGAAATGTCAAAACCTATGTATTTCACATTAAAAAGAACATCTTTTGCTTTTGAAAAAAAAGGCTATGAATTCAATTTTAAATTGAGATAAAATTCACCTATCATATATGTCCTAATTAAAGTGAACAACTCAAAGACTTTTGGTATATTCAGAGTTATGCAGCCATTATCACAATCTAATTTTTTTGTTTTTGCGTTGCTGGAAAGTAAACCCAGTTCTCATACGTGCCAGGCAAGTGCTCTAGTACTAGGGCTACATACCCCAGCCACTACAATCTAATTTCATTCAGAAAGAAACCCATGATCATTTGCATGAATTCTATAATAAAAACATTCAAACAAAGAAAGTAACAAAGGGAAAATAAGTCACATTTTTCCAGTTCTGCTACCTCATACCGTGTAGCTGCTGTTGCATGGTTGAAATGTCGTTACGCAGTGAGAGCTTGTCTCTGTTCAGTTGTTCTAGCTCCTGCTGCAGCTGCTTGACACTCAATTCCAACTTTTCTAAGTTTGATTGTTCCATTTTGTTATTTTCTTCTGTAGCTGCTAAAACCCTACCACACAGAATAAATCAGATTGTCAAATATAAAATATTTAAGCACATGCAAGACATGACTGAAGAATAATGTTACCCTTTCACATGTGCAGTTATGGGAAATTTGAATGATTATAATTCTTATAAGACCCTGAAACCATATTCAAAAGAAATCTTACCAGCTTTCTAAAAGAGTTTTGAGAAAAATTAAAAAAGGGATTCACTAAACTGAAGTTTTATAAAAATCATCAGTAAAGACATGGACAACATTCAGAATTCTAAAAATCTGAGTGGTAAAAATGGATTGCTGACTTGTGGTTAAGTGAAAAAGCAGGAAACACAACTGCATGAACAGCAGGCTTTACCCACATCAGAGACGCATGAGCACATGTGGCCTGGTTTTTGTCTGGCTCCTCTCACTCAGCACAATTGCCATGAGATTTTTCATTGTTGTATACATCAATACCTCATTCCCTTTTTGTTGCTGCATAACATCCCACGGTACAGATACCACTATTTATTCATTTATAGGTAACTTATAAACATTTGGGAAATCACATCAAAGTGCTATGAAATTTGTGTATTCTCAGTGTAGAAATATGCATTCATTCTCGAGTAAATACCTAGGAATGAATGACCAAATCTGGTTTGTCTGTCTGTTTTTTAAGTAACTGCCAAACTGTTTTCCAAAGTAGTCATATCGTTTTACATTCTCATAAATTCTATATGGAAAGCACTTCATTAACATTTGGTATGGTCATTCTAAAAGGTGTGTAATCGACATTTATTTTGTTGTGGTTTTAATTTGCATTTCTTTACTAATGATGCTGAACATCTTTTCATGTACCTTTTTTCTGTTTCTTCTAAACTAAAAGTTCAAATCTTTTGCCCATTTGAAAAATTGGGTTGTTTTTTCATTATTCAGTTTTGAGAATATATATATATATATATATATATATATATATATATAACACACAATTCTAGATACAAGATCTGTGTAAGATACCCAGTTGTAAAGATTTTGTACCCAACTCAATGTTATATCTTTTCATTGTCTTAACAATATTTTCTGAAGTATTTTAAATTTTGATCAAATCCAGTTTTATCTAATTTTTTATGGATCATGCTTTTTTTTTTTTATACTGGGGATCAAACTCAGGCCCTTGCGCTTGTAAGACAGGATGCGAAACCACTGAGCTAAATCCCTGGCCCAGGATCATGCTTTTGATGTCATACCTAAGAAACTTTTGCGTAACCCAAAATCACAAATGTTTTGTCCTAGAAATTTCATGTTAAGGTTTTACATTTATATTTATGGTCCATTTTGACTTAATATTTGTATACAGTGCGAAGTATGGATTAAGGTTCACTTTTTACATTGTGGATGTCCAGTTTTTTTAGCAACATTTTTGGAAGAAGATACTATCTCTCCTCTTAAAAAGTTGTCTTTGTCAAAATCAGTTGTTCACATATGTGAGTTTATTTCTGGACTTTTATTCTGGTCCACTGATCAATCTGTCTACTTTTTACTGACACTGCAGTGTTTTGATTACCATAACTTCATACAAAATCTTCTTTTTTTTTCTCCTTGAGACAGGGTCTCACTAGGTAGTTCAGGTTGGCCTTGAACTCACAGAAATTTTCCTTCCACAGCCTCCCAAGGGGTGGGATTACAGGTATGCAGCACCACACTCAGCTTTATAGAATTGAAATCAGGTAGTGTTAGCCCTTAACTTTTGTTTTGCTTTTTTAAAGTTGTTTTGGTGTTGTATCTAAAAAACTGTACAAATTTCTTCTAGGTCCTTTGCATTTTCACATAAATTTTAGAATTGACTTGCCAAAAAAAAAGGCCTACTGGGATTTTTATTGTCATCATTTTGAATCTACAGGTTATTTTGAGAATGAAATCTTAATAATGTGTTCCACAAACAAGGTATATCTCTCCATTTATTTCCACTGTACTGTTACTTAAAAAGCCACAATAGGGCTGGGGTTTTAGCTCAGTGGTTCCGCTGCCTGCTTTGCAAGTGCAAGGTCCTGAATTTGATCTCTGGTACCCAAATAAATCCCCCCACAAAAACAAAAAAAGCCACAACAGATTATTTGTATGGGGTGGCTAGAAGGAAAAGCACGAAAAGTGCTATTGGAGAATTATATTATGATAGCAAGTTTATAGAGTAATTTCCCCCCTTTCTCTGTGTTCTAATTTTTTTGTTGTTTTGGTGCCAGGGATCGAACTTGGGCCCTTCTGCTTATGAGGCAGGCGGCAGAACCACTGAGCCAAATCCCCTTAAAGTGATTCTCCAAGCTTGTTTGTTCTTGCTCTCACCGTTTGGTCTGTGACAACTTCTCTTCCCAGCTGTCACACTTCTCTTGGAGATCTTCCTTTTCTTTGCTCAAACACTCAACACAGGATTGCAATGCTTGCATCTCAGCAGTCATTCGCTCTATTTCCCGTTTGTGTCTCTCTAGCAGCTGCTTCTGCCATTCTATTTCCCCTCTCTGTTGCTGGGCTGTCTGCTGCAAATTCTCTAACTCCAGTTTCTCCTAAATCCAATAAAAGAGAGCTCAAATATGCTAAAGAGAAAAGACTGCAGGTTGCTAAGAGTACAGGGGTTCTCTTTGTTACCTCAAGCACTTCAATTTGAGTCTTCTCCAACTCAGACACCTTTTGGTCATGTTGTAGCTTCAAACCTTGTAGCTCCTTATTCTCAAGTTGCAACATGTCTAGAATGTTCTTTAATTCTAGTAGACACAAACAAAGTATAGTCCATGCTATTAAATGGAACATTTATAAAAGGAAACAAATACTACTACTGACTGAGAAAAAGTAACAAGTAACTTAAAAATTGTGTTGGTCTAAATAAATGGTGCTAATAATAAGTTTAATGAAAAGCAAACCTTTCTAAAAGTACTGCTAATTTATTAAAAACATTTAGTGAAAACGAAGTTCTAAAAGCACTTACCTCCACATAAAAGATGAACTAAGCATAGTTTATATAGATAAAAATTAATCAAAATAGGACAAACTGTAAAATATAGAATAAGATGTATATAACAGTATTTTTGGCCCTTGAAATACAGATATTTAAATATTAACTCTTCCTCTTTTTTTTTTTTTTTTTTTTGGTACCGGGGATCAAACGCAGGACCTTGTGAGGCAGGTGGTGAAACTTAACTCTTCTAATTATAAAAACATTTGCTCACTGTAGAACATGCAGAAAATTTAAACGTAGTGTAAGAGAAAGAATAAACATATTACTCCAAGAGGTAAAGATGATGACTTTAATACTTGACGTATTTCCTTGAGGAATGTACACACACATACATACATACTATTTATTTATTTATAATTCCCCGGCCTGCAATACTTTCTAAAACTGGACTATACTTCCTATTTTTTTTTCAGTCTTCTCATGAGCATTTTTGCATGTCATTAAGTATTAAAATACAGCTTTTATTTTGCTAATTTCCTTCCCAATTTTATCATAAATACTGCTGTGATGCACATAAAGGATCACTCTTTCTTGGTGTGTTAAAAATGGGCTCATTGGTCTGACAGGTGTGAATTTTAAGGGTTGTAAACCTGGGTTTAGCGATTCAGTTTGTACTTCAATGCTTAGCATATACATAATCTTCCCTCAGCATACTCTACTCTGGTAAGCCATGAATATGATTATTTTGCTTCTAAATAAACTATTAAATTCAGTAGCAGAAAGCAATACATCCCTTTTATAATGTGCTTTTCTTTGCCTAGTTGCAGTAAGGTTAAACCTTAAAAGAACTTTATCGGGTCATTTACATTTTTCTATAATCTTCAATACATACATTTTCAATTTTAAACTTCATACAATTGTTTTTGTTTAAACTTACCAGTTTTAAGTTTAGACATTTGCCTTAAAACTACCTGAAGATTTTCGTCCTCTTTCTCAATTTCCTGCTTTATAAGTGCAAGCTGAGTTTTCTTTTCACTAATGTGAACATTCAGTTCTCCTTTCTGAAAACTCAGTTCTTCAAGAAGCGATTTTACTTCCTGTGTTTAAAAAAGAAAAAGTCATCCCCTTTATGAAATTACTTTAAAATCAATTCTGTAATTGCCTTACTTCATAAAGCTTCAAATTAGTAATAAGCTAATTTTTGCTGTTTTACAAGAACAGGGTAATATTTTGCACACACTTTTCTTTATAAAGAGATAATACTGTCTTCATTTACTTTTTTTTTTGGTACCAGGGATTGAACTTGGGTCCTTGAGCTTACAAGGTAGGTGGCAGAACCACTGAGCTAAATCCCTGGCCCCACACTGTCTTCATTTAAATTTACACCCAATAGGGCCAGGGATTTAGCTCAGTGGCACCACATCTGCCTCACAAGTGCAAGGTCCTGAGATTGATCCCTGGTACTGGAAAAAAAATGTAGACCCAACATTTACTATTTGCAGAGCAATGTGTTATAGAGAAAAAAGGCTGACTGAGACATGGCACCTGCCCTCAAGAAGCTTAGTACCCCAAGCAGAGGCAAAGCAAAGAACACAACAGTTATGAAAGCTGAGATGTTCTAGGAAACATGCAGACAGCACCATTAATGCTAGGATAGCAAATGAAAAAGTCAGAAAAGTCCTCTTAGAGAAGGTGATAGATAGCTAGGCCATGAAAAATAGGGTAGTGACAGGGGCAGAAGGGACTTTTTGGAAGAGGAAATAGAATGAAAACAAGGGCAAGAGGCAGGAAAACCTTGGGTATATCCAGGAAAGTATAAGGGGGAGGCCCACAAAACAGCGGCACTGTGCATGGCCATGCAACATGGATCAAACAGCACCCAGGGAAGGCGACACAGTACAGCACTGTCCTTAAGCACGGCCTTAAGACAACCTACTAAGAAATATACCCTAATGTGACTGCATTTCTCAGCTACTTCTGTTTCTCCCAATTGCAGAGCTTCCTGAAGGTCAGCTTTTGCTTGGACGAGGCTTTCTTGGAGTAGATGCAGCTCCTCCTTTTTGAGCCCTAGCTGCCTGTCCAAGGCAGCCATCTCCTGCTGATGACTGGTCACCTGAAAAGGGAAGAATGCAAAGTCCGACAGGCCTTCAGGGCTTGCCTGGAGCTTATATATTTAGTCTGGGTAAACAACGTCAGCGAAGTCAGAAGCTAACAGCCCAGCCCAAGAATCAGGCAGCCAAGCTTAAGTGCAAACACGAATCGCCTAAAAAGATACTGAGCTCACATACTTTAAACATCCCTCAAATCACAGCGGGAACAACATGATAATAGTGATTATCCCTCAGGTTATGGTTTTTAAAAGAAGTTTCATATCTATACCTTATTCCATTTGACTACAACCTTAGCAACCAAAACTAGGCAGAGATTTTTTAATTCATTGTTTAGAATTTAAAAATACAAAAAATAAAATTAATAAAATTAAATTTAAAAATACAATTTTAAGGGCAATGCATGTTTGTAGACAAAGCAGAAAATACAGACATGTGAAAGGAAAACAATAAAATATTCACAATCTCCCCTTATTAGATGACCACTTTTATATTTTGGTATAGACTAAAAATATAAGTATTTATCAACACATTTAACAGAAATAATCCCAGCAGGATAAAATGTCTTCAATCTCACTCCTTTTACTCAATAATTGCTACAGTCTGAATCTCTTCCATTTCCCAGCCATGAGGTGAGCACTTTTGCTCCACCACACACTCTTGCCATGATGTGCCACCACGGGCCCAAAGCAGCAGGCCAAGTGATCACATACTGAAACATCTACAACTGTGCGCCAATATAAACCCCTTCCTTCCTAACTCCCTCCCTCCCTGCCTCTGTCTTTCTCTTTGGTGTTAGAGACTGAGTGCTAGAGTACTCTACCACTGAGCTGTATCTTTAGTCCTTTTAATTTTTTGAGACAGGGTCTTGCTGAGTTGCCTATACGGGGCTCAAATTTGTGATCCTCCTGCCTCAGCCTCCTGAGAAGCTGGGATTATAGATGTATGTCACCAGCACCCAGGTAAATCTTTTCTCTTTTGTTCTTCGAGACATGGTCTTGGTGGATAGTTCAGGCTAGCCTTGAATTCACAACAATCCTCCTGCCTCAGCCTCCTGATTGCTAGAATTATAGGTGTGTGCTACCACACCTGGCTTTAAACTTTTTCTCCTTAAAAGCTGATTATCTTAGGATTTGTTAATAGTGAAGGAAAGCTGAACAATAATATATTTGTTTTTTTGTTTGTTTTTTTTTTTTGACACAGGGTCTCACTATGTAGTTGAGACTGACCTGGAACTCACTATGTTGCCCAGGCTGGTCTCGAACTCACAGCAATCCTCCTGCCTCAGCGTCTCGAGTGCTAGGATTACAGGCGTGGGCCACCACGACTGGCTTGAACAATAATATATTGTACTGAGTTGGGATTCAAATTTAAGTTGAATTATACACCATGACATCCTCATTGATTATTTTGTATTTTCCAATCTTTTCTACAATCAAATATGTATTTTTTTATAATTACAAAGTATAAATGGTTTTTAAAATGATATGGCCTGCATCCCAGGCCTTTATCGCCATACCTGGCTTTTCAGCTTTTCTAGCTCAGACCTTTTGGCCTGAAGAAGGGTCTCAGACTCTTTTAGGACATGCAGGTGATGATCCTCCTTGCATTCTGCTGTCTTGACATCTCTTTGCAGGTTCTGAAGCCTGCAAAGCACCAGTAGTACTTAAGCAGACACTCGGGGAGACAGAGGCCCAGAGCTGTCTTCCAGCACCAGCCCTCTGCAACTGATAAAGGCCTTACTTACTCTTCCATCAGTTCTTCCTTCTTCTTATTTAAACTCTGGAAGTCTGTGTCTTTTGCTGCTATAACTTTGTTTATTTCTTCTAAGATTTCTTCCTGTTTGACTTTGTGCTCCTCCAAATCCTTTGCATCAGCCTGGAGCAATCTGGAACATAGCACTTTGTTCCCCTCTGGCCTTTAGACTCAGCAACATGCACTATTTATCATACACTAATTGTTACTCCCTTGGAACCACCACTCATCTCACTGTATGCCTCAGTGGCTTAGGGACTGCACCTACCTCAGCTGCTGATCGGCTTTCACAAGGTTAACAGCAGTTTCCTGAGCTCTCTTTTCTAACTCCTCAGCATCAGCCTGGGTTTGCAATAAACTTCTCTTGGCATCAGTGAACTTCTCAACAGCATTTTTTGTCTAGAAAAGAAACTGTCATTAAAAGCAATTCACTACAACATTCATTCACCACTGCTGGCAGTTTAAACTTGTACAACTCTTTTGGGAAACATTCACTTTGACCCTCCAACTCTCAGAAAATAATCCAGAGTGAAGAACTACACATAAAAATGTACTGAAATGATACAAAACTTCAAAAATAAAAAATTAAGTGACAGTACACGAACACAGTAAAATACTGCACAGCCTTTAAAAAAATGAAATAACAATGTAGTAAATGAGAATGTTAAAAATACATGGCCAAGAAAAATAAGTTTAAAATTGTATAAGCACCACGAGAACGACTATATAAAACTACACCTGTATCAACAAAACAGCCTATGCACAATCATTTGAAGATGGCGAGACTGCAGATGATCTATTTGAAAATAATCCATAATACTATTGTCATTTGAGTATATTAAAACTATCTAATTAAATGGCAATGAAGTGTTTTTTTGCACATTCTTTTCTTTGTTCCAGTACCAGGGATCAAACTCAGGACCCTGCACTTGCAAGGCAGGTGCAGTGCCACTGAGCTGAATCCCTGGCCTCCACTTAAGATTCTTGTCACACTCTGATATTATCAATTTAAGTGCAAACTCACTGTGTGATCATGATTCAGTTACAGTTAAGAAACACTAATATTACATACCTTTAAAGTATTTAAAATTTTTTCTATACAAGATTCAGCAAAAACACTTTTTAAAACACCCTTTCTGCCTAAAAAAGGTTTAAAACAGTGTCATCAAAAGGTCCAAAAGTAAGTTTGGTTTGCGCTTGTTTGAACATTGACTCACCTCAGCCCTACAACTGAAGCTCTGGAATAAAGTTAGGAGTCTCTACGTTAACTTAAATATCCTATGTGGATGCAAAAGGGCTGTCAAGCTCCCAAAGAGCCAGAAATTTCACCAGACTTCACTCTATTTTAGACAGCTGGTTCTGTGTCAGTTCACCAGCAAAGCACTAGACAAAACTCACTAGGAACTACAGAGGCCACCCTGCTAAGTAGCCTGTTTCCTTCTGTGTCAGGTTTTAACATGTCTGACACATTTCTTAAAAAATAAGGCTACTTCCTCCCTCCTCCTCCCTCCTCCTCCTCCTCCTCCTCCTCACCAAGCTGCCTCTCTGAGTCATTTTGGGAAGATGAAGGACAAAGAACTTCTCAGTCCTGGTTCATTTACTACCTGTGCCTACCATTAATGCTACCCATGTTTTTCTTTTCCGTGATAGTTTTTTTACTAACACCTGTTCTCTCTCACAGTAACCTAACGTGACAACAAGGACGTGCTCATGTGAAAAGAGATTCTTGTTAAAAGTCAGCATTCACAGAATTTCTTTAGTAACTAAAACCATTCAAGTTAGTTCTTGGGCAACAAGTTTTTACTAAATAGATTCAAGGTAAAATAAAATAGTTCCTGAGATGTTCCATGTGGGTAAGTACATTTTTAATCCTGGAATTCTTGTCTAACTAAAAATGCTCTGGGAGAGGCAGAACTTCAGTTTGTGACTCTGGGCCAGTCAGAGCCTGAGCTAACACCATCTTACAGGGCTGCCAGGGATGGTAAACAAAGTGGCATTTATAAAGGGCCAATATGCTGCCAAACAGGGAAAGGGAATCTCCTTTTCCTCTCCAACTCTCTTTGGTATTGTTCTCTAAAGAATATTATTTTCAGACCAAAGATATTCTGTATCATCATTTCCATTACAACTCTAAGAAAAAAAAATTAAGATTTGTCCATGATAGCTTCATAAGAATCCAACTGGCCTATTTAAAAAATACAGCAGGGCTCAAATTAAAACAACAACAACAAAACAGAATAAGACAGCAGGGTGTGCTGAGAAGAACTAACTTTAGCAGTATTAAATATGTTACTTTGTTTAATGCATACTAAAAGGCCTGCACATTGTTAGCCTGAATTTACAGATGAAAATAGCAAAGGTTGAATGATTTGCCCAAATTCTCATGGCTCCATTATTAGCAGAGTCCAGCCTGGAACTCTCTGACTTGGAGGGCTGTGTTCTTACTACCTTTTCTCTTTGTAATCCTTTAGGCAGACAACAGTAAGCTGTCTCACCTTCTGTGAGCCCGAACCCATGCTCTTTCACCACAATAGGTCATACCTTCTTTTTTGTGCATGAAAGTTCACACTCAGCCTCTGCCAGGAGTCGGTCAGCTTCCCTGAGTTCTGAGCGACGTTTTAGAAGGGTCTTTTCTATACACTCAATTTCATCTACAATATCTTCATGGTGTTTCAGGGTTTTTTCTATTTCTAGTTCAGTCATAAGATTCTCAACATCTCCATCAAGGAAGTCCCTAAAAAATCATACATAGATTTTAAATGTAGACAGTATGAACAGTATTAAAATGATGCACAATGATTTTATAACTTTATATGAGAAAACATGAGTGGCAGTTACATCTGGTTATCTTCAAGGTCAGTGTTTACCTTTTTATTAAGCAGAGAATAGTAATAGCAGTAGATATATAGTATATAACACGTATGATGAGTTCTTTCTCCTTTTAAATTATAATAACAAATATTACTGTATTGTCAGCATCTGGCCAAAACAATGTTAATATACTTATCCTTGCAAGTATAAAAATAAAATAAGTCACTACTCCTTAAAACCGTCCTCAAGGCCCAGTTCACAGTCTGACTCAAAGATTACCTAATTTTGTGATTTATTATATTCTGCTAGAGTAAGACTATAATAATTGACATGATTCAATAACTCAAGGCTAACATGACAAAATTATTTGAAAATAGGGTTATCTATAGCAGCATACAATACAAAAATATAGCATATTAACAGATTGTTTTAAACGATGGGATACATAATGTTTACCTTCTTATTTTTACTTTTCTGTGTTGCCCATATTTCCTAGAATGATCATTTCATTCATTCAAGTTTTTTTTTATTCAAGCTTTATAAGTAGGAAAAAAAATGGTTATTTAACCAACCCTGCTATCCCCCCTCAAAAGACCCCACTGCTACTTGAAATGCAGAGGCAAAAGGATCACAAGTTCAAGCTTAGCCTGTGTACCTTAGAGACTCTGTCTCAAAATAAAAATAAAACTGGGATTTAGCTCAGTGGCACCACACCTGCCTAGTAAGCACAAGGTCCTAAGTTTAATTCCTGGTACCAAAAATAAATAAACAAACAAACAAATAAATAAATAATTTTAAAAGGGCTGGGTATATAGTTCAGTGGGTAGAGTGCTTGCCTAGCATTTATGAGGTCAAATCCCCAGCACTGCTAACTCAAAATACCTCTCTGCCAACATACTCACAAAAATGATAGATAGATAATAGATATAACCATCGCTTCTCGGCCTTTTGGCTAAGATCAAGTGTAGATAATAGATATAACCATCCTTCCAACCATCAAACATCAACACCAAACTTTCCAAACATCAACATCAAAAATCTCCTGTGTGGCCCTTGCATTCCACTGCCAGATTAGTCCTGTATCTGTTCCTAGATGGCAGTGACCATGTTTCACTTTCTGTGCCTTCCATAGGCCTCCTCTCACCCCAGGGTAGTCTGACTTAAGTGACAAAAACAACTGCTATAATTCACAGACTCAACAGGAGATGGGCCTATACATATCTGGCCTCATTAACAGATACTGCACACAATATAGCAGGAGCTGGGACCCAGAAACGGAGGTCCAGCCTTCAAGAAGCTCAAGTTCCTTACAATACTGTGCCAACAGCACTATGCAAGAGAGGTTGCTAACCCTTTGTCAGGGCCTCAGAAGAAAGGGATTTTGCGTCTTTGTGTCTGTTTTTCAAGACAATCGGTGGAGTCAGGAAGTGGGTAGGGAAGGCATTTCAGGCAGAGGATAGCAACTGCCAAAGTGTGACAGCACAGGAAAACGTGGTGCCTGGAGAGACCAAAGGGAAGTTAGTGGTTCAGACCACTGTGTATGGGAGAGAAGGCTAAAAGAGGCAGGCGGTGTATGTTCTAATGGTGCTGACAGTCAGAGTGTCCCAGGATGGAGTGGGAATAAGACATGGAGGCTAGTGTGGAAACCATTACAGTGGCCTAGGATGAAAATGATTAAAGAGCAGGGCAGCTATGATGACAGAGAAGGACCAGTTCAAGAGCTTTCTGTATGTACAGTCAGCAGGACTAGGAGACAAACTAGATGTCTAAGGGAGTGTGGGGAAGGGAGGAGCTGAGAACACTGTTATGTTTTCCCTGGAGTAAGAGGAGAGGAATCCTGTGTCATTCTCCAGAGGGACCACAGGGGATGAGAGAATAGGTACTACTGGCCAAGAGAAATGAGATTTGCAGCATCCAAAATGGTACTCACCACATGGCTACTAAATTTATTAAAATTAAGTTAAATTCTGTCTCTCAGTTCCAATAGCCATGTTTCAAAGGCTCAACAGCCACATGTGGCCAGGGGTTAACTGTTGTGGACAGTTATGCTCTAGAACATTTCCGAGATCACAAAAAGTTTAATTAGACAGTGCTAACTTAGTTTATCTTAATGCACTAATATCATATCCATCTGAATTATAAAAATATAATGGTTAATAATAATTACTTGCGCTGTTGATGTTTCTGGATGGTTCTATGTAATTCTTCTACTTCATGTTCTAATTCTTGCTTCTCTTGCAAAAGACTATCAATGTTATGATGCAATTCTTCCATTTCTTTTTCACACTGGCACTTGGATACTCTCACCCGCTGTTCTTCCTGTTGCTTTGATTTTAAATGTTGTATTATGTCTTCTAATCGAGAAACTTCATTCTCCTGAATAAAGAAAAAAAATGCCATACTAAACATCAGAGGATATCTCCCTTCTTTCCAGCCACAAACTGAAATTAAATGTGTTTATAATAGTGCCGATGACCTGAAAACTGATGGTGGTTTCTAAAACTTTAATATGAAAAGAAAATTACATCAAGCTAAGTTTTTTCACCCATCACAGATGAAAATGGTGGATTAACAGAACTTCTACTTTATGAGTACAACCATAGTTGAGAAACATTCACCAAGCCACTTGTGGACAAGTTCTGCCCCCAGAGCTCAGCACCTATAGTAGAAACTGAGATCTTCCTGTCCGTTAGAAACATGGGAGTGGAGTTATCTGAGAAGGCTGTCCAAAGGAAGAGGTGTTTTGTCTGGTTTGGAAGAATGAATAAGAAGGTAACAATGCAGACCGAAGAATTAAATATATGCAAATGTAAGGAGGTACAAAAGTGCACATGAAATCTAAGCATTTGTGTACTTTTGCAGAGTAAAAGAATCAGTTTAAGAGATTATCAATATGTGCTGAAAAGACAGAACTGCTATAAATTACAATATATCTTGAAACCCACAAGAGAATGTGAGTGATTACCACTGTTAACCATATAAATGCACATAGACCCCCTGAAACTCATCTGACCTATAAAAATGGAACCGGGATATGGGACCAGGTGTCCCAGTTCCTTATCTGCCCTTTGATCTGTTGAGGGATTTGAGTTTGAAAGAGGAGCTTGAGTACACTTTTGTTATTTTAGAATCAAAAAATGCGAAAGTTATCTAGTAAATAGGAAGTAATAATTTCTTGAAATCTTGCCTAAAAAAAGAATATAAAACATGCTAAGAATTTAAACAGTGAATTATAGTATCAACAAATAAAGAAACAGTGTGTAGGGCTGGGGATTTAGCTCAGTGGTTTTGCCACCTGCCTTGCAAGCTTAAGGTCCCAAGTTTGATTCCTAGTACCAAAAAAAGAAATAGTGTGTAATTATTAAAACAGTTTAAATACATTTGTAAAATTATTGGGAAATGCTTGTAACATTCAGGGAGAAAACTGGATGTACAAAAATAGCTATGAAAATAAATTCATCATCTTCATCATCATCATCATCATCATCATCATCATCATCATCTACCACCCAGAGCTAATTCCCACCAAAACTTGTTGCATGCTCTTTATGTGTGTGTATATACTGCACGTGTGAGTACATACACATATACACATGTGTAGAAGTATAGGTGCTAGCCTATGAATATATCTATACATAATATAGCACCTGTCAATAGAAAAATATATAAAAATGATTAATATTTGGACTGTCAGTATTTCTGTTATAAAATGGCTTAAACTAGGTTTCAGACTAGCCTAGTACCTTAAATCCTATTCAAAATAGTATTTCTGTAAGAGAATGCTTGCTCAGCTCTAAATATCAGCCTTATGATCACTCTTTTGGGATACAACCCACATGCAAATAAATGACTCAACTGCAAATCATTTTGAGGCACTCATGAAAGGAGTGTGGAGAGAGGGTAGGACGTTTTTCTACTTACCAGGTTATGGTGTTCAGGGACATTGCAATGCAGCACACCCACAGGGATGAATGGGACAGAGAAACTGGGAGGTGGAGGCCCATACACGATGGGCGCTCCAGCAGGTGGAGGGCCATAAATGACAGTGCCAGGGGTGAGAGGTCGGCTGTCACTGGGTAAGGGAGGAGGCGGTGCATACAAGGCCACGCCCTGCGGTACAGGAGAACCATCAGGAAACACGGTGTACATCATGTATCCAGGAGGAGGCACAAACGGAGATTCCTCTCGGTCAACCAACCCACTCTCTTCCTGGCTATCTCCTTCACTGTCTGCATCTTCAGAGAAACAGAAGAGCATGTTACCCCAGGGCTTACTAGATAAACAGGTGTAGAAGCAACAGCAGTGAGACCAAGATACTGGAGATATGAGGACAAAACTCTGAACAAAAAAGTCAAAAGGAGAACCAAGACCTGGCATGTAAAGGTACAAGATCCCAGTAATGAATGTAACTGTACTGTCTATAGAATGTACTTCAGGAAACACGGTGTACATCATGTATCCAGGAGGAGGCACAAACGGAGATTCCTCTCGGTCAACCAACCCACTCTCTTCCTGGCTATCTCCTTCACTGTCTGCATCTTCAGAGAAACAGAAGAGCATGTTACCCCAGGGCTTACTAGATAAACAGGTGTAGAAGCAACAGCAGTGAGACCAAGATACTGGAGATATGAGGACAAAACTCTGAACAAAAAAGTCAAAAGGAGAACCAAGACCTGGCATGTAAAGGTACAAGATCCCAGTAATGAATGTAACTGTACTGTCTACCTAGAATGTACCAATAAATTCAATTTAAATTAAAAAAAAAAAGTCAAAAAGAAGGCCGGGGATTTAGCTCAGGGGCATCATGCCAGTCTCGCAAGCACAAGGTCCTGAGTTCAATCCTTGGTACCAAGAAAATAAGAACAAGTCAAAAGGAATCAAAACATGAATTCAGAGTATTTTAAGCAGCTGATACTTGAGTTTTTCTTATGCTTATCTTATTTCTTTCTTCAGTCTTTATTCAGCAATAATTTGAGTATCTGCTTCATGCTTCAACAGATGTGCAATGAGATGGGATAGCACTTAGCATTTACCGTCATGATGTGACACTCTCCAATGTAATGGATCGTCTCCTCTACAAGAAACATATACCTCTGCTTATCACCAATGACAAAGAACCTGGCACAGCTCCTAAGTGCAAGAGCTGGGATTTATGTGACTATAGCTCTTCCCTCTAAAGCTTTGGAAGACAGACCTATGACACTTCACTTCAGCAGAGTGAGGTTAATGCTATGACACAGGATACAAAGTCCCATGCTCTAGGCGTATAGGCAGAGAAGCTGCTCAGCTGGCTTGGAGGAAGCAGCACAGAGGAAGGCTCCATAAAAGAAGTGTTATTTGATGTCCTAGTTCTTATTGAAGGATGGTAAGAATCAGTTTGGTAGAGAGATGATGAAGGACACTTTAGACAGAGAGTCTAAAACATGAAGGTCTGGAGCTGAGGCTGTAGCTCAGAGACAGAATGCTCATGTTGCATGCCAGAGGCCCTGGGTTTAATCCCCAGCACCACAAAACAAAACAAAACAAAGCATGAAGGTCTGAGGAATTTGGCATATATCTCAAGCAGTCAGGAATGATATGCAAGACCAAGACCAGATGACAGAAGGCCTTACAAGGCAGGCTAAGGAGCCTGGACAGTGTCTACAGATTTCAGGGACCCAGTAAAAGATTATTAAACAGGCAAGAGAAACGCAATGTCCTTTATGTGACGTCACTTACGTCTGTTAGAAAATGATTTATGTAACCCACTCCTGATGGGTGAATAGACCCAGTGTCCTGAGGCAGGTGGAGGTCCGCTGACATCTTTCCCCTCATGTTGTGTAGGCCTTGGTTTTCTAAGAGGAGTTGAGGCTGTGTATTTCAGGCCCAAACCAGAGTCCTTGGTGGCCTGGGAACTATGGCTGGAAACCTAAAATAAATGACAGGAAAGTACATTGTCTATTACAAAATGGAAAGGCTGATTTTGAGAAACATTGGAGCAAAGTTGAGATATAAAAAAGCCGAGAAAGTACTATCATGATTTTTATTGTTCATAGAAATGAGAAGTGATTACATAGTGACATAAACCACAGGTCTGCACTCTTTGTTCAGTTTATTTAGTGTCAGGGTGGCCATGCAGATGGAGAGCAGAGCCACGTGTGCAACACTGGGATCATGGCAAAGCGGCCTGTGAAAGTGAAGGACTAGAAGTGGTGAAAAAGTAACCAAATGATGTCTACCTATCTCTCTAGACAAGTTATTTAATAACATCCATCTCCTGTCCTACCTTTTGGAACAGTTTCCAGAAAACACAAGTCCCTGACCACATAGAAATGTTATATGACTATTTGATTAGGTCAATTTTGTGCAGAGAGAGAAATGAAAACTAGTTCTCCCTAAGAGACCAGATCCCTAAGTATCAGTCTCTCTTCTCTGTACCTATCTTTACTGGCAATTTCTTTTCTTTGGCTTTGTCCTGAATAGCCCAGCAACCGAGGCAAAGGAATCCAGCAAACTTTCAAGAGAAGATACTATTAGTCTGCTGTCCTGGAACCGTGGTGTGGCTTTAAAACTCAATTCTGCTATTCTCTCTGCCTTTTCAGTCCATAGGCCTAGCCTCCACTCTTGTACCCGTCTCAGGATTACAATGTTTTGCTCTACCTTACGGTGCTCCAACTCCAGCCTGCCTGTGCCCAGGATGTTGGCTTCTTCTTTCAGATTTCTGGGAAAGGGATCTCAGATTCTGCTCTTCGTGTTCAGGTTCTGGTTTAGCCTACAAGTCCCTGGGATGCTGGGGTGTCTAAGCTGCTTCTCCCTCAATGTTGCTTGTCAGCTGATTCTGATAGGGTGTCACCCAGCCCCTTGGCTTTAGAGAAGTGGAGTTTTTAGTTTGCTCTTCACTTCCCACATTCAGGCACCAAGCCCTGACCATTGTGCCTCCTTAAAATCCCTTAATCCCATCTCTTGCCAACTCCACTAATCTAACTCCAGCTTCTTCTATCCTTCACTTCAATGAGTTCAAACAGTCCCAAAAAATTTCACCTTGCTACATACAAGTCTAGCCTTTATACTCAGCTAGAATATCTTTCCTAACTCTGATCATGTTAACATAATAATCCATTTCCCATGACCCAAATAGTTAAGTTAAAGAGGTTTTACAGTCCTTTTCAATCATGAACTGCGTCTACTTTTCCAATTTTACCTTTCACTGTTCCAATCAAACTCTTCAGCTCTACAAGGTTACCTGCCATGGCTAAGCCAACTCTCCTCTTCCACACAGCTGTTCTTCCCTCCTAATAGCCCATCCTTTGCTGCTTGCTAAGTATTGACTTCACAACCCTTCCTTCCTGAATCCTTAACACCTCTCTGGAAGCACAGCACACAGGTCAAACCTGTTGTTGCATGCATGTCATTATTTTGTAATTACATTGGCAAGGCCCATGAGCTCTTTAAAAGCAGGGGCTGTGAAACAGGGGCTGTATTATTCATTATCATACCACACCAATGCCTAGCACTAGGCCTAGAATGTTTGGCAAAAGAAAATGAAATCCTGGTACTTTTTTTTTTGGTCTGAGGCCCTACACCATTTTATAACCATTTTCAACAGATTCTCTGGGCTCAAGTCATCTTATGCTCTTACAGCATCTCCAGGCAGAAAACCCCACAAAACCCAATGGTCACTCTTCCACATAAAGGCCCTATCTTCATCTCAACTGTTAAAAGCACCGAAGAACTTCAATGCAGGCTTAGTATACGGAATGTTCTTGGCACCTGTTCCAAATCTGGGGAAGGAGATAATGTTATACTTTCTTCAGGAAAATTCAGTATTCCTACTTTTGATGATGGTGGTGGTGGTGGCATGAAGTACCAATAGCCTCGTCTTTTGAAAGGATCTGCTAGCCTGCTGATGTAATCATTCTGAAAAGAAACTTCACGTCGAAGTTCAGCAATTTCTTCTAAAATAGTTTCAAAGCCTCCTTTGTTATCTGTAAAGGAAAACCATTATATGAAGTTGGCACGAAATCATCTACTTCCTTTCTCTCTCAACATATAAAAAAGATTTCACCAGAGCCAATGAATTTTATCAGTTCCTCAAAGCTGCCTTTCAGACTGCTGAAGTGACACCAGAAGGATAGGCAAATCCTTTTGTACTTCCATTACAAAGTAATTCAGAGACAGCAAATTCAGAGACAGGTTTGTGAATTTTATTTTTCCAAACTAAGCACAAACACTTTGTGTCTCAAATCAAGTCCCTCAATACCATACTTAAAACACTTTTTAAATTCTTTAACCTATTAAGTAATTATCACAGCTCTTTAAGCATGGAATTGATTTCTTACAGTTAAATATATTTTCTAAATGTGAAAAACAAGACAATTTTGCTTTTACAGTGACAAAACGATTGCCACAATGAAAGCCTTACCAGCACCAGTGAGGTCTAGTGAACCCCGCAGCCTTGCAATCTCTGCCCTTTGCCTCTCCATTATCTCATTCAGCCTCTCCATTTCTAGCACCCTTGTGTTTGCTCCTCCAGAACCAGCATCTGCCTTCTCCACCTCCACTTGAAGCTATTAAAAAAATATGAAGTTGCCAATGAAAGAATTCCTTCCCAGATGCACTTATCTTACAACTTGATTATACTTCTGTAATTTTTATTTACTCTTTCCCACGAGAAAAATCACCTTGCTCCTTCTATTTACCCTGTGCTGCACCTGGCACACAGCAGAGTATAAGCACTGACTGACACTGTCTGTACTTCAGAGTGTTTTGAGATGGTCTTTTAGGAACTTAGACGGAGCCAGTAAGGAGAAGGGCTTAGGGAATCAATACAACACTGACCTGCTCCTCCCTCTCCCTGAGAAGATTCTGCAGCAGCTCTATCTCTGCTTCTGCCTGGGTTAGGTCCTGGGCTGCTCGTGCTGCCTTTCTGCTGAACCTCTCCGCTTCTTGCAACTCCTACAGGATGATGAGAAGCACCCAGTTATCACAGGTCAACATCTCTGTCCCTTCTTCCTCTCAGACTGACATCTCTACTTCCGTCACACAGTGTGCCTGGTTGTCCTATAACGTGGTACAAAACCCTACTTTCTCTTATGTTTTCATTGTGCAGTGGCCTGCCCCACTCCCAGGGGCCCAAGTAAGGGCTTGAATTTCTTCCATACCTTTTAGATTCTCTTGCAAATAGTGAATTTCATTCTCCAACTGCTAGATTCTTGCATCATAGTGCCTCTTATCAAACTTAATCTGTACGGAAACTTTTTTCTCTGTTCCACAGTCTTCCATGAGTGGTCTCTAAAGCCCAGAACTCGTGGTGAACCTCCCCAAATGCTGGGATTACAGGTATGTGTCACCATACCTGGCTCCATCTATTATCTTAATCTCATTAGCATTTACAGCCTATAAATCACCATAACAAACATTACCTCAGTCAGGAATTGTAATAGTACTATAAGGTAACATGTTTTCATTCAACTGCACAAGATGAAAACTTTAAGGTTCAGAGAATTATAGGCAAGCCTTTAAACCTCTATCCAGGTACATATTAACAGAGGTCTCTCTAAGCTTTGAAGGTAGGGATGGTATGTTTCACTTGATGGTTCCTTTCAGGACTCAATAGGGCACAGAACCCACAGCAGCACAAAATAAATTCTTGGGGGTTGTGATGGTAAAAACATAATCTTCAGGTCTTAAGAAAAATGGACAACTTTATGGTGATTTACAGACTATACAAAGCCTATAACAAGAGATCCAAAATACAAGTTACTATATTTTTGGACAACAACAAGTTTAGTGGAAACTTGTTCTGATCCTGTAGACAAACCTCTGCTCTCTCCTGGTTAATTTTCATAACAGTTCCGTGAAGGGACTTGAGCTGGTCTTTGGCAATGGTGAGCTCAGAGGCAGCTAGTTTATCAGAGGCAGCCACAGCTTTCTTCAGATTCTTCAATTCTTTATCCAGACTAAGAAACTGCTCTTGAGATCTGGCATCCTCATGTTTCTTCTAAAGTAAAAGAAGCATTAAACAGATGTAAGCTCCAGAAGATCAGAGACTTTGTTCACTGTTGCATGTCCTATGTCTAAAACAATACACACACACACACACACACACACACACATATAGTAGGTGCACCATAAATACCTATTGAACAAATAATATCAAAACTGAGATAAAATTTTTAAAGAATCAGTTTTTGTAGTCAAGAATTACAGCGATCATAAATACATTCATTCATTCATTCATTCAACAGAAACATATTTCTTGGCACCCGCACACACTCACTGAATGCAGGCATATGATGATGAAGAAAGAACTTAGCATTTTTTAAGAGCTGAAAGAAGGATCATGGTGAAAAAAGGTAGATTGAAACAGGTATCTCAGGTAGGGCCTCATAGGCTTAGGGATCTTGATCTTTAAGAACAGTGGAAGTCATGAGGGGAGGAGGGACTGACTATAGGCAATTCATCATTTAGAAAGAAGGCAGGGTCATGAATGGAATCGGGAGATCTGTCAGGGGGCCATGGCAGCTGTCCAGAGAAGACAAAATGGCTGGACAAGGGTAGTGGGATCAGAGGAGAAACAAAGATATATTCCAGATATATTCTGGAGATGGATTCAATAGGACTTGGGAACTGATGGCTCTTGGTGAAGTATGAAGCAAATCACCCACTGAGGCTGGGAGGTTTGAGGAGTGGAAAGATAAGAAAAGGTGGAGCATAGGACAGCAAGTTTACTCAAGAAAGGACAATGTTGCCTATGTGAGGCTAATGACCCTGAGATTATAGTGATTCTACTATGCTGGGTGGGTGATTTTTTTTTTTTTTCTCCAGGAATATAAGGGTACAGGACCAAAGAAAGCAGGTAACTTCGGTTTTGTCAGGGAAGTAAGAAAAAAGAGCAAGAAATTTGAATATGCTTGCAAAAAAGGGCTTAGTAGTGGATTTGGAACTAAAGTTGGAAAAGAAAGAAAATAAAGACAGGAAGGGCTTAAAACACAGAAAAGGTGGGGCTAATAAACTGGAATCTCCACAAGGTTGAATAATTGTTAGTCCAGAGATACCAGCAAGATAGAAGGTTACAATCATAGTGAGATATTTTGGTCTGTGATTTTTAGAAGTGTCAGGTACACTTTCTGAATTTAACAAGATCCATGATGTGACAATGGGAAAAGATGATTGAGGATGAATAGAGAAAGTATTAGAAAGGAAGATAAGGAGGTAATAAAGGTAATTTCCTACGGATGTGTCCATCTGGGCAAAGGGCTTTTTAGGAGGAAAACTCATCTCATTATCATTTATTAAGTATCATCTAACTGAATCTAAAGTTAATCCTTACATTCTTACTTCTCCTGTTTCCATTACCAGGACACCCTGGGTTCAGATCTCTGACTGAATGATACCCATCCAGGTCTCTCTGAGGTCAGTTCAGCTCTGCTCAGCAATGCAGCCAGAGGTGAATGTCACTCCTCTTAGCTGACCAGCTTACCAGGACAGGACCTGGACAGCATCTACTTATATCTCTGACTTTCCTAGTCCTCCCACCTTTTTCTCTAACTCTTGGAGTTGGGCTAGGATTCTCTCCTTCTCCTCATCAGCTTCCTGAAGCTGGAGATCTGTAAGGCCTTGAATTTCTTCCATACTTTTTAGACTCTCTTGCAAATAGTGAATTTCATTCTCCAACTGCTGGATTCTTGCATCATGTTGTTTCTTATCAAAATTGATCTGTAAGGAAATCAAATTTTTAAAAGTAAAATATGTTTTAAGCAAAATCAAAATTTGTTATGGAGTTATCTTTCACTTTACTATAAGAGTATAACAAAATTTTGTACTAATGAATTACTAGTGATGATTTTATCTTAAATGCTTTCTAGGATCCATCTGTTATTGGGCTTTTTTTGTTTGTTTTGTTTTGTTTTGTTTTTAAGACAGGGTCTTATTATGTAGTTGAGACTGACCTGGAACTCACTATGTAGCCCAGGCTGGTCTCAAACTCACAATGATCCTCCTGCCTCAGCCTCTGCATGCTGGGATTATGGGCATATGCCACCATACCTGGCTCTAGGATCCATTTGAACATTTGCCTTAATATGTCCAAAAACTCAGATTCTAGTGCCACACTATATTCTAGAAATGTATTATTTATCTACTTTTATACAACATTTCTCACTTGCTTCCAAAACAAAGAAAACACAGTGTCACAAACAGGCCTGATTTTGACATCAGTAACCATATTCAGGGATGGACTTTAGTCACACTCAGCTAGTCTCGTTATGAGTAAAATAACAACAGTTACGATGAATTTACACAAGAAAGGAAGCATTGTCATTTGCTCAAAACGTTAGTGTTCACCAAATGCTGCCCTTGCCCATTTTTCTTACTCTTGCTTCAAGGGCCCTTTCGCAGGCCTGCCTGAACTCCTCTTGTCCGTTTGCCAGTTTCTCTTGCTGCAGAGCCATTTCTTCCTGGAGTTTTCTCTCTCTAACTTGTGCTTCCTCTTTTTCCCACTGGAACTGTGCAAGGATTTCGCTGAACTGTTTCTGTAAATCAGCAAGACTTTTTCCTAAGACATCTGAAGGGCTATGGATTCTGGAAAGGAGAAAATACCATATAAATGTGACATTTTATTTTTGATGCTGGATACAAACATGCTGCTAATATTAGTGCAAGATTAAAAAAAACAAAACCAAAAAATATGCAAAGGGAGTAGTGTCAATTCCCAGCAATTTACTGAGTACCTCCTATATGCAAATGATAATTTTATTAAGTGATGCTTTTACGAAGAGCCTGAGAACACAGGCTCATGTCAGGTGAAGAATGACGATATATTTGTAATAATCCTCAGTTTTTTACTGATACTTGTTTCTGTTTAAAATGCATAATACTTCTTGACCATATACAATGAACTTGCAAGTAAGATTCTTAAATACCTTATGTTTTTAAATTAAACATTATCAAAAAAATGCAAAAGACCTAAAATGTAAAAAAAAATCAGTGACAATTACAATTAAATGGGCCTATATGTCTTTGTCTTGGGAACATCATAAGGAGACTCTGCAAAAGAAATCAGTCATTAACAGGACTTAGGAAGGTGAGTTCACTGAATCTCATACTCACAACTCTGAGGCCGTGAAGCACACGCCATATTAGGAGGTCTTGACTTTTCCTTACCTCATTTCCCCAGCTCCTAACCGCAGCTTTCTCCTTAGTTCATCCACACGAGCTGCCACTTCTTCTGGATGAATCAAGCCATCAACTACATGGTTAAGGTGATTCTGGAAATCTTTCAGTTGTTGTTTTAACAAGTTATTGTCATCCTACAGAGGGGGGTAAAATGGGGAGTATTTGTTATTTGCCAGTATATTTTCGCTACTAACAAATTAATGAGCATATCTAGACCACAGAATTAAATTCAGACAGTGCCTCTTAAATAAAAAAACCTCAAATATCCCTAAATTATAAAGCAAAATAGTCCTAAGCTATTGTGTTCCTTCAAATATCTGTAAAACCTGAGTGATGAATGTACTTCAACCTCAGTCTATTATTGTTAACTAAAATGAAGAATCAAGAATTGCAGTTAATATTTTTAAGTGCCCATGCCATCTGAGGTCTTTTCATCTGTAAACTGTCCTGCCCATGTCCAGACATGGCCTTCTCTGTACTACATACAGATAGTCCCTTACTTTTGACTATTCAATTTTAGAAAGAAACTGTATGTTGAATTTTGATTTTTTTTCTAGGGCTACTGATAATGCATTATGATATTCTTTTGTGATGCTGGGAGGCAGCAGGAAGCCAAAGCTCCCAGTCCACCAAGCTCTCAGGAGGGTAACAATCCATCTCTATAGTGTACTGCACTGTTAGAATTTTTCAGATTTTGTTTTGTATATTTTCACCCCATCACATTTCCAATAAATTACCTGATATATTTAACACCTTATTATAAAATAGGCTTTGTGTTGTTTTGTACAGTAGTAGGCTAATATAAGCATTCTGAGCAAGTTTAAAGATAGGCTATGCTATGATATAGAAGATAGGTTCTCTCTCTCTCTCTACATAATTTGAGCCAAGATTAAATATAGCACATGGAAGTGCTGAGCCTGAAGAAATAGTCAGCTCAGGACTGAGGTCCAGGCTGGGCCACATATAATGCCCACACAGTTAGGAAAGGAGAAATGAGAGAGCCACGAGGACTCCGAAAGACTGACAGAGTGACTCTGGTTCCCAAAGCTGTCTCCTCTCTTGAGCTAGTGTGAATAGGTTTTGGTTCACCATAACAAAATGATTTCTGCAAAATGAAAATGTACAGTTGTTACTAACTTGTACTCTACACCAAGAGATATTAGGCCAAATAACCAAAGGACCTAGTTTTAACTAAGTTATTCCCACAGGATGATGGGCCGTCTTTTGGAAAGCTGACTTCAGCTTCTACCTTAGAGGAGAAGGCCCCTAAAGAATATATTTCAGTCTTTTCTGTGGATGGGCACTGAAGTATTTAAGGGTTAAGCAAACATGTATGAGATTTTCTTTTTAAAAATTTTAGCCAAAAAAGGTGAACTAAATGAAACAATGAATGTTGACAATATTCTCTTTGATTCTGTGATTACTTGAAAATTTCCACAGCAAAAAGAAAAACTAATAATCCAACGAAGACCCAAAGTGCGTGTACACACATGCAAATATCCCTCTGTACAACAATGAAAAATATATATACATCTTTGTAATATTTGTTTCAGAAGTTGAAATGATAGTAACAAAAATTACATTTTAGGTTATTAGATTTCCTTAAACTTGGAAGAAAAATATTTCAGGTGCTGGCAGAAGAGGAAATTTGGGTGAGTTTAGACTTATTACATATCTCTCTATATGGTGTTTCGAAAGCCTTTCCCCAAACCACACAACTCTACCCTTTTATTTCTGGTGATAACAGCTGCCACCTCAGTCTTTCAAGCAGCCCTTGACCTCAGATTTGGAGATCTGAGTGTTGGTTCAGGTACTTGTTTGTTCAGACATCTGTCGTCTTTGAGAAAGTTTAATTATCCAGAAAATCCTGTCCATGAGTTTCTCCTGCAATTTGCAGGGCAGAGTATTATAAGTTATAAAAATATTCTGCAATACTTTCCTCACAAACATAAAATGATTACATTTTTAATGCCATCTTTTCTGAAGAGACTATGAAAACTGTTTGCAATTAAGAAGCCTTACTGTATCACACTCTAGTTAAATTTACAGATAATTTCAAAAGTGTTTCAGTGAAAGAGAAACACACTGTACCCTGGCTCAGTCTGGTGACAAATCTGGTGACAGTATGGCTTCCCCCACGATTTACACACTATACTGTTCCCTAAGGACACTGCCTTTACCCATTTACACCACCACAACTACACAAAGAACATGAATGTTAATGATCTTAAAATCATGGGTTATAAAAGAAGACAGGCTACAGTGCTGCCCCACCCAGAATTCTTTCTAACCATTCAAGTTGCTTACTACATGTAAGAACAGGTTGCTAAATGCCTGATGAAAAGATATCATCTTTAGGTGTCCTATGTATAAATATATTCCAAATTCTAAAGCAACAAATCTCTACCTGTAGCTGTTTAAGTTTTGTGTGGAGTTCATTGTTTTCCTGTTCCTTTTCTTCTGAGAACTGGGCTTTTCCGAGGGCATTCTTGAGGGACTGCCTTTCTTTCTCCAGTTCGGCTTGAAGTGCTGATTGCTCTAACTGTTATGATGGTACGAATGATATGAAATTCAAGTGTTAAACAGCAACCGATGACCCCAAAAGGAATAAATGTTTACATATACACAGAAGCAATTGCTGTTAGTTTTATAACAGTTTCATGTTAGTACTCTGAAATCTAAAAACCCAAGGTAATTTTTCACATGCTCCTTAAAAAAAAATTTTTTTTTTGTACCAGGGATCAAACACGGAACCTTGCACTTGTGAGGCAGGCAGTGGAACCACTGAGCTAAATCCTCAACCCTTAAATTATTAATACTTAAGGAAAGGTACGAATCAGAACAGGCTCATCCTGGATAGCCTACATCAGAATCTTCCAGGGTAGCCTCAACACCTATCCTTAAAAGCAGACTGTGGTCTTCAAATACTTTTATCAAAAGCATTTGATGTGTTTGTTAAAAATGCAGATTTCCAGACTCCATCTCAGACTTGATGGGTCAGAGTCTCTAAGGTGGAGCCCAAGAATCTCTGCTTACCACCTTTTTCACATGGGACTTCATATAACTAAAGTGTATGAAACAAAGATCTACAGATCTGTAGATCAGAAGGACAAGATCTTTTATGGTCCATACTAATTTGTGGTTTGAAGATTTAATCCTGGACATCCTGGTGCTGAGATCTTCTTCCAATATTAACTGAATAGGAAAAAAGGCCAGGCTCTTACATTTTTTATAGACGTATAAGGAAACAAAAAAAGGGACAATGTGAGTACAAAGGACAATACATATCTATCAAATTACTAAAGGGCTTGCTTGAAAAGAAAAAACTTTATTTATAAGGGATATTTAGAAATTTCATTCACTGTTATTTAAAAATATGCATTTGTTGTTATTTTGTTTTCCCCCAACTTCCTGTTTTCTCTGACTCTCATCTTATGGTTTTAAAACTTGGTACTCTTGAGAAATGCAACCCTGACAATTGACAAGTGAATGGGATCTGATAAGTAAAGGAATACAATAATACAGTTAGTATTAAAAACATACCTATTTTAATTCTTTTTCTAATTATATGAATGCTCTTTTACACGCATTTTTGAAATTCAAACTATCTTATTTCATTTTTGTCCAATAAGCATACATTGACCCTTCTCATGAGCATGAGGAAAACAGAAAACAAGCAGAAACATGTGAGGTATTCATTGAGCTTTCAGTCTAACTCCGGGAAGACAGGCAATCTAAATATGTGATCATGATACACGTGAATAAATGCCTTGACTGAGTACAGGGTATAGGAAAACCAAAGAAGAGCTTCAAGCCCAGATTTTCAGCAGGCAGAAAGGAAGGTTAAAGTGAGCTTCCTGGAGGAAGAAGCAGCCCATTTGGCTAGCCACCTAAACAGAACTGTATTTTCGATGTGATACAGAATATATTACTGCTGGCTCGCCTCTGCACCTTTCCACTTTTATGTCTCATTCCCTTTCTCTCTTCTCTCCTTGCACCTGGCACCCTAGAGGTACTTTCAGCCTTCAAATGCATTATGCACTCTCTCCGCACTCCTCTGTCTAGAACACTCATATTTATCCCTTCCTAACTCTACCTCTTTCACGCTTTTCCCTTTGCATGGCTATAGCCTCTCATCCTTCAAGCTTCAGCTGAAACATTATTTTTTGACCCTGACTACCTGCTCCTCTGCCATAAAACCCTGTCCCTTTCTTCTCCCTCACCTGTTTCGCCAGCTGGACTGTCAGCTCCTTGGGACAGTGACTGAGTTCTCAAGAGTATCCACACCACCTGGCCCTCAATGGCCAATCAATACCTACTGACTGGATAATGTTTTCTCTAATTTGTAAGTATAATAAACTCTTAGTTAGTTCAACCAATCATAAAGTAAAGAGCAAACTAAACTTTAACATCAACTTTTAAAAAGACACATAAAGCTATTCTGAGAAGAACTAGAATTTACTGAACAGCAATGACGAAGTGCTTTTATGCCCTTTATCTTATTTATCCTTATCATCTGCCATTTTGTAGAGGAGGAACAGGCTGGGAGGCTCCAAACCATGAAATAATCTGCCCATGTCCATACAGAGCTAATATTTTAACTCAGAATATCTTACTTCAAAAATGTGCCCTTCCCTTCATTCCATATACATTACATTTAAAAGATTATATTTAATCTTAGGATATATGGAAAAGGATGATACTTTAAGGCAAGGCTGCTTAGTTTCTAGTTGACATATTTTTCTACTTACCTGTGTAAGCCTTGTGAGTTTGTCTAGTTCTTCCTTGAGTTGGTTGGCTTCAGCATCTCTTAATCTTAGCTGTGCCTCTAGTTCAGCTTCATAGGCACTGAGATCTCCTTGAGTCTGCTGCAAGGATGCATTCACTTCATGCTGTTCCTGGAGGGCGCTTTCTAGCTCTGCAAGCTCCTGGAAAAATTCAGTGTGTTTAACTGCGGAACCCTCACTGTGTTGCTTAAGCATCTGCAAGTCATTATAAGTAACTTGAGTCCTGTGAACCAAATGTTAGCCAGCCACTGCTGCCTGGCACAGAAAGTTTTTATCAGCAAGATGATGAAGTCTCCAGCTGTGCATATCCTAGGTGGAAAAAAAAAATCCTGACTAAATGTAATGAGGAAAGTCAGACAGCTAAAATACGTTGCTTTCCAGTGCAAACAGTTGTGTGATACTTTAAATGATCTCAAAATACAAAAGGAAAATGACTGGAGTGGAGAGAGAAGGCAAGATTTTAAAGCCTATTTTCCATCAGATACTGGAGCAAATGTTTTCACATTCATTATTTCATTGTATCTTCACAATTACTATGGAAAGCAACTTACATAGTTTTACAGACTGGAGAATGACCATTTTAGTAAACTGCATAGTGCTGGGTACCTAGAAAAAGAATAAAGTCAGGATATGAACCTTGATCCCTGATTCTAATTAAACCACAGTATGTTTACTTATGAAGACAAAGAAAGGAGACTGGCACTCTCTAATAGTAAGGATAACAGAGTAACTTAAATGTGTGCTAACAAGACTATAAGCACATATTGATTAGGATACTACAGATCTCATTCATTTTGGTCCATCTGTTCTGTGTCTGTGATTAAATGTTTCAAATTCCATCTATTTGTTTGAGATCTTGAAGATCAAACCACAGTATTCTGGATTAAAATGGAGAATCTTGTGATAAGAACAGAAGAGCTTCTAAACAGGCATTCCAAAAACTACATTTGGGCTGCATGTTGAAATGCAGATGCCACATGTAACCCACAAAGTATTAATGTCCAGAATATATAAAGAATTTCTACAAACCATTAAGAAAAGACAGACAATCCAACAGAAAAATGGGCGAAGGATAGGAAATTTATTGAAGAGGAAACATGAACAAATGCAATAGTAATTAGGGGGAAATGCAGTTAAAATATGATAATATTTTACATGAAGCACAGAGAAACAAATTAAATCGCAAGAAAACAACCAGGAAAATACAGCACATGGGACAAACTACATACTACCAACCTGGATTGCACAGACACACAAACACACAAACTTTAAGATATTCTTCAGATAATCAAGAAAATCTGAATTATGATTCAGTTCTTAGATGGCTTATTGTTAGTGAAGTATTACTAATTTTCCTAGATATACTAATGGTATTGTAGTGATGTATAAAACTCACCTTAAGAGATGTGTGATAAAGGAAAGATGTGATGATGTCTACAACTTTCTAATAAGTTGGGAGAAAAGTACAGAACTATAGGAGAAAGAAAATAAATACACCAAAATATTTGTTTATTGAACCTAAGAGGCTTACAGATATTCACTGAACTAGTATTTTAAGTTTTCTGGAAGTGTAAAAATATCCATAATAAAAAGATGGGGGAAAGGCACCATTTAAAACTCAGCAGATTGGCAAACATGAAATCTAGCAAATATTCCTTATATCTGATAATTTTGTTTTTACATGGGGAAATATCCTTGTCCTTAGGAAACATGTGCTGAAATATTCAGGGGCAAAGGCTCATGATGTCTGTAGCTAATTCTCAAATGACTCAAGAAAACTACCTATCTGGCGAAGTTAACTATGGATGTACATAATTTCTGACTCACGGATCTACTTCTGATGGTAGTTGCTAGGTGAGTCAGCTTTCCATTACTGTAACAAAATATCTGAGACAATCCACTTACAAGAAGAAAAGGTTTATTTTAGCTCATGGTTTCAGAGGTTTCAGTCCACAGCCACCTGGCACTATTATCCTAGGCCTGTGGGAACACAATAAATCATATTGGGAGCTCTCAGCAGGAGGCGTAAGATACTTTCTGACAGCCAGAATGCAAAAAGAAAGACACTGAGGTTCCAATATTTTCAAGGGCATGCCCTCAATGGTCTAACTTCCTTCTGTGAGGCCCCAGCTCATAAAAGTTCCACCAGCTTTTAGTGATGTCACACCCTAATCTTGCAAACATGAGCTTCTGAGGACAATGCCCAAACTAAGACATGTATAAGAATGTTATACCTAGCATTGTTCATAATAGTAAAAGAATAAAACTGGCCCCTCAAAGGAGTATGAATAAATAATAACTTTGTGGGATGTATAGAGCTACACATATTAATATGCGTAATTCTCAAAAACAAAAATATAGAGGAAGAAAGTGTGAAAGAATATGTATACTATCATACCTTTTTGTAAGTCTTAAAATCATAGAAAACAACACTACATATTGTTTATGGATGTTAGTATATATAATGAAAGAATAGAGATGCAGGAAAACAATAACCATGTTAAAGATTTTGTTGTCTCTGGGAGTAGAGAACTTTTCCAATATATCTGTAATTTTTATTCTTAAGCTGGTTGTGAATATGTAATATTAAATATTTTTATTTATAAATAAATGAAAAATAAATAAATGAAAAAGCCCATAACACTAAAAAAAAAAATTCAAATTTCTGGAGCCAGCCTACTGAGCATGAGATTTGGGAATTTGTGGGTTTCATACATGATAAAGTATGGCAAAAAACTACAATAGTATAAGTGAGATCTCAAAATTTATGGGCAACAAATCAGGTATAAAAAGGTATAAAATACAACATTGTATCTGGCTTGTTATGGGTAACAATCTCAAAATTATCAAGTAACAGCAGTAAGTTAAGCCATGTTGTGCTTACTTTTGCTGCACAAATAATAATAAAATATGAATATTTAATACATCATTTGTTTTTGTTTTTAATACAGTTTTTTTTTTTTTTTTTTTTTTTTTTTTTTTTTTTTTTTTTTTTTTTTTTTTTTTTTTTTTTTTTTTTTTTTTTTTTTTTTTTTTTTTTTTTTTTTTTTTTTTTTTTTTTTTTTTTTTTTTTTTTTTTTTTTTTTTTTTTTTTTTTTTTTTTTTTTTTTTTTTTTTTTTTTTTTTTTTTTTTTTTTTTTTTTTTTTTTTTTTTTTTTTTTTTTTTTTATTTGGTATCGGGGATCAAACCCAGGACTTTATACTTGCAAGGCAGGTGCGGCACCACTGACCTAAATCCCCGGCTCTTTTAATACATTTTCAGTAGATAAAATTTCATATTCTTTAGTTATTTGATACAATACCTTTCAGTGATAGAAACAGAGTTAAAACGATTTCCTTTTCTTAGTAAAGGAAAAATAATGTTTGCAAACATACCACAGCTAAAGAAAGAAAAAAAAAAAACCCAACTTTTAAAAAGAAAAAGCTACCAAATAGCCCCTAATACTCTTTTTCACTTACAACTATACTGTTTCTAACTTTTCTACTTACTTTGGAGATTATCTACTTCTGAAGTTAAGGAAAACAAACAGGAAGAAACAAATCATACCTTCCTCATATTTTCTGCATCCATGGCAACTACTTCTAGTTCGTTCCTCTCTTGTTCAACTTCAGTTAACCTCTGCAGCAATGTCTCTTTCTCATCCTGTAGCTTCCTGCATTCATTCTGGGCCTGAGCTGCTTGGCCTTTGATGGTTCTCAGGTATTCTTGCAACCCACTAAGGACACCTTCTAAATCCTTCTTCAGAGCTTCATTTGCTGCTATCTGGCCTAAGCAGGACAGAAAAGGGATAATAAGGTGTATTTTTAAAGTACTGCCTTATTTCCTTAGCAATTCGTTATAGCTAAGAGTGAAGTTCTAAGATTCTAATTATATCTTATCTTAGTTTTCTTTTTCAAGATATAATGATAATTTTCTTATTATCTGTACTATAGGAATATTAACTAAGCATACAATTAAAATAGTATATTTAGTGGTAAATGCTTACAAAATTCCTGACTCACACTGTAAAAGTTTAAATAATTTCCAAATGAAATAATAAAAAAATGTGCAGCAAACTGTGAATTCTTGTTTCTGAGCGCACACAAAAAAGCCACACACAAGACTTGAAGACTAGCAGCATGAAAATATAACCTGAAGACTTGAAAAAACAAAATTACAATACAAAAACAACACATACTGGTTACCTACTATGTTGTCAGACACTTTATGAACACTCTCTTTCTAACCTCCTAATGGCTGCTCATCAAGACAAAAATAAAACTTGTCCCAAGTGACACACTGATAAAGGTACAAAGGGGACAGAGACTTCAGGCTGGCAACATTACAGACTATTGTCCTCTTCCTCTTCTATTATTACGAGAATATCACTATTTAAATTTGTACTACAAAAGTAGAACTTAAAAGTTATTTGTTCTTTCTACACTTTTATTATAACTATGCACTAGATTTCCTCAGGCCAATCGACTCTTTGCTCCTGAGTTTTATGCCCAGAGGACAACCGCATAACAGAGCTTATCACAGCCACCTACTGATTTTTTCCCCACTGAGTAGGACCACCTGACTCACTAGGCATCAACGCAATAAAACATAACCGAAATTGAATTTTTAAAGAATTCGACTAAACACTTTTGGGTACTCTACACATACATCTCCATCAAATACTAGCATTAAGAACTAATCCATATTCAGTCAATACCTGAACTAATGCCCATCATCTTACTTTTTTTAATAGTGGATTTACTTTAAATCACAGGTAAATTCTCACCTTCAGTAAGTTGCTCTTCAAGGTCTTTAATCTCTTCAGTCTCCTTAGCAATTCTAGAAAGTATCTCATCCAAACGGCTTTCAAGTTGTTTGTATTGCTTGTTCATAATGTCAAGCTGTTGTTCTTTACCCCGTTTCTGAGCCTTCACATGGGACTGAATTAAAGAAAAAAAATCAGCAAAACCCAAAGTTCTTTAAATTTTTACAAATAATAATTCCTGACACTTTAAAAGGAAAAATAGAAAATAAAATATAGTAGTTTACATTTATTTTGTGTCAAGTCCTATACCGTTTTACATGAATACTTTTCATTTAAACCTCAGAATAATTTGATATGAGAATTATCTCTATTTTACAAATAAGAAAATTGAGGATCACACACATGCAAATACTGAAGAGTTTCTATAAAAGTGTAAGTAAGAATCAAAATGTATAATTGATATTGTGTAATAGGAAAAAATGTCTAAAGGTGGGAAGGGTAGGGGAAAGCCAAGAAGGGGAAAGGAAAAATAAGAGAAAAGGAAAAAAATAGAAACAAAGTCTCTGTAAATAGGGAAGGGTGGTATGGAGGGGGTGAAGGGAGGGCAGGGGAATGGGGAAAAAAAAAGAATGAAGATACATCATGTAAAGGTACCAATGATGAATGTAACTGTATTATACAGTACCAATATTGTAATGTACCAATAAAGAAAAAAGAAAAAAAAATTGAGGATCAAGGTAGTTAAATGATTTTTTTCACAGGCACAGCTAGTAAGTAATGCAGCTAAGTGGAATGTTATTTGTTGGGTATTAAAATTTTAATTTAAAGTTAAAAATTTTCCCCCAGTACTCGGGATTGAACCAGGGGCTTCTAAACTGAGCTACATCCTCAGCTATCCTCCTCTTTGCTTTCTTGAATAATTTTATTTTGCGATAGGGTCCTGCTAAATTGTTAAACTGTCTAGGCTGGGCTCAAACTTGCAGTCCTCCTGCCTCAAGCCTCCCAGAATGCAGGGATTTAAATATCTTTTTAAAAACTTTCCAAAGGGGATCAAGAGATGGAAGGAGGGGAGAGACAGAGAGGAGAGAAAAAGGATGAAAAAAGAATCAAGATGTGTTATGTACATGCTCCAGTTCCCATGAGGAATGTAATCATTAGGCACTGCAAACATGTACTAATAAAAAAACCAAAAACTAAAAAAGTTTCCAAATTGAGTATATTGGCATATAGTATATTTATTGAGAAAGACTAAAATTGTATATTCTTAAAATGTTAAAATGGATTATATTGAGATGGAAGAGCTACAGATTTTTTTCCTTAAGTTTTTTTTATATTACAAAAGACTTTATAATGATAAATAGTGCCTTTTAAATCTGAAAAACCACATTAAATGTACTTTTAAAAAAATGTCTTAAGGAAAATAGCCGCATGAGATAATACTTGAAATTCAAGTTCACTTTCACTCTCCCATGCAAATAAATATGTGCTTTTACTTTGAGTAAAACTGGGCACTATGAGGGTTCTCAAAGACGAGTGAATTTTGAGATGGAGGGTCTCGTCACACACCTTTACCATTCCAGGTGCCCTGACAGTCCCTGCATTAAAGAACCACTGTTAACTGAAGAGTGGATTGTACTTCTCAGGTGTGCTAGGGAAAACAGTGAACCAATGATCTAGTCTAACTCTTCATTTTACACAGATGAAAGGAAACCGAGTCTCAGATCCATCAAATGACTTGCCCAGGTCTCCTTAGGCAACTGTTCTTATGGAGACAAAATAATTCTCCAGAGAACCTTTCCCTCCTACTCACCCCACACCCCACTCAAGGGCTTTAAATCTGCCCCCACATGATCAGAGAACAGAACAATAACTGAAGATAGAATATTCAGGATAGAAGACTGCACCAGTCTCAACACCATAGGCCACGACTCTCTCAAGTCTGAGGCCCATTTGATTACAAAAGAACATTTCAATTTTAGAGATCTGCTCCCTGCAAATACTACAAAGACAAAGTCTTTACTTTGAAGATTAAATGAGTGGGACACTTGATTGGAAGTTATTATTTTACTACTGGTAAAATAAACAGGATGTTTAAATCTTGTCTTTTCCCACATTCTCAAAATACCCATCTGAAATCTTTCTGAAGGGAAAGTGCTGATAATTGCTTATATCCTAAAATCCTAAGTAAATGAGATTTTTATAGCTCAACAAACACCAAAAAAACCCAACACGCTGTGTATGCATACCTAAATCAATCTTTGAAAATCTCCATTAAAAAAACCCCCACTTTATATGCAGAATAAAATTTTGGCTCAACATGCCAATGATGTGCATTAAAACACATGCAAGCGAGAGTATATTCTGCAATTTTTCACTACCCTGGAGCTCACACGAGTTATTGTAAAACAGGAACTTACAGCTCTGACTCCTCCTCCGTCTAAAGCCTTTGTATTGAGAGAGATAAAATAATCATACCTTAACTTAGAATCTGTCCTGTTAAAACTGAGCCGTTGAGCACAGGGGAACTGTGGGCGGAACACTTTCTAATGCTGTCTTCAAATTCATGTGCATTTCCCTCTCTGACAGCCACATTTTTGTAAGCGCTTCAGAACCTGGTTAACTTCCCAAAGCTTCAAACCACATTCCGGGCCAAGAGTGAAAGACAGCTCGGCATGACCAATCACCAACAGTTTCTGTGCACAAGCCCCACCCATCACTCGTTCACTCTTTAAATCAAAACACAGGAAGCTCGAAGCTCCTGAGAGCCAGAGGGCCAATCACGCCCTAGCGCTGCAAAGATAACTACAGGCTAACTGCCTAGAGAACTGCTGCCTCTTTGCTTCCACTGGGGAATACAGATCTTCCTGTTAGGCTTGCTCCTGTGATATTTTGCTTCCAGCACAACTGAACAAGTAAAATAGGATTCTATTATTAAATGATAATTTTTCCTTTTGAAACGTAAATACTTATTTTTTAAAAACTGGACTAGACTTGTTTCTGAGCTAATTTTAAAAGAATTTCTTTAGACTTTTAATCTTTTTTCAAGAAAAAGGTCACTGTAGTAACTTAAGCAAAGGCTCTGCCTAAAGGGGTGGTTTTGTGGCAAATCATTTAATCCTTCTAAATCACATTTTCATCCTCTGCAAATTGAAGGGGAAGAATTAGCCAACAACTTCGCGGGGATGCATGATAAATTGCCTTGCCAGCGTATGCAAAATACTGAGTACTGCTTGAGACACCACTCTTCTACTTTATCTTATCAGAATTAAGCTTTTACTTTTGTTTTGTATACACCTGGTGCTGGAATTGAACTTAGGGTCTCACAGCATGCTAGGCAAGTGCACTACCACTAAGCTAAAATCCCCAACCCAAGATTTTACTTTTAAATATTATCTGCTATTCAAAAAAATAACTTCACCTGATTAGATAATATAAGTCAATTAAATAAAACTATATCTTAAGAAAAATATGCAGAAATTCCACACTTGACTCTCTCTTTTGCTAAAAGATTCAGATTTTGTAGCCTAAAATGGGGTACCTAACACTGGCCAACACAACTTCACACAAAGATGCTCCTTAGAGGTCAGCTGTGGCAAACCTACGACACACGTGCCACAGCAGCCGGTTTGTATCAGGCTCTAAAAGGTTTGCCATCACTGCTCTAGGTGAACAAATCACAAGTGACATCCTCCACTGCTGTAACTTTAACAACTTAGTAGCTCAACAAAACCTTTAAAAAGGAAACAAGTCTAGTTAAAATGCTTCTCCATCTCCACTAGCATAGGTTTATCGGGGCTACCTTCAGAATTTGGACACCATTCCTAAGTCACATTTAGCACTTCTGTATGAAATTCTTTACAGAAAAACTCTGCGTCTGCCTGGAATGCCACAGTTAAGTTTGTAGAAAGAAAACACACAGTGCCGGTTTAGTTAGATTTTTAGGTCACAGAATGAGAAGAGGTACCAAGTGAGCTTGGGGGAGGGCTTGAAGGGTGGTTCCTCCCTACCTACCCCAGCTAAATAAACAAAGGGCTGGCCCCTGGGGACGCAGATACCAGTAAGATATAGTCCCTGTCCTCCCCGGCTTTACACAGATGGCAGACCTCTGTACAAATAAATGCAATAAAGTAAGACATTATTGAACTCATTATACATAGTATTTACAATATCTGATTTTTCATGTAATAAAAATTATGTAAAATAAAACTTCTACTTTGATTTCATTAATAACATTAAGCATTGAATTGTTGTTAGAAATATTCTATTATCTATGATGATACAGTTATACTTTATCAAAATTAGCTGGCTGGCGGGTGTTGGTGGCATACTGGTAAGCATAGCTGCCTTCCAAAATTAGCAGGCTATATCTATCTAATGTTTTAAAAAAAATTAAACAACTTGTCAAGCACTTAAGAGCAATTATAGTACACCATTCTTATCATGTTAAAACTCTATGATTTCTGATAATCTAAATAACCTTACTGTCTATATGTAGGAAATATGTTTACTTATTTAAAAAAAATTTTTTTAATTACATAAGTTATAGCCATTGTAAAATTTCTCAGAGTGCTGACAGAAACAGGTGCCTAACTGTGTTGTCCAATGACCTGATCACATCTTAGGCACAATCCAAAGAAATGTTTTGTTTTAGAGGTACCAGGGATCGAACTCAAGACCTTGCGGTTGCAAAGTAGGCATGGTGCCACTGAGCTAAATCCCTAGCCTGAAATGTTTTATTTTTAAGGACAAAACAATATGAAACAGTAGATAGTCATAGTAGAATATTTGTATAAAGAATTACAAAAGAGGAAGGAAAGTCTTATAAATATTGTCAGCTCTTTCTGCTCTTAAGAAAGAAAAATCAAGGAAGAAAAAAGACAAGTTTTGAGAACATCTTAGAGCAAGTTTCTCTTGCTCTGAAACTTAGTCATTTATAATAAATAAGTGTAACACGCAGCCAACAATACTGAAAGCTAACACCTTCTAAGCTTTAGATTGTTCAGTTTTGGACATACATATACATTTATACATATATATATATATATATACATACATACATATATATACACACACACACACACACACACACACAGACCACACACAAATCATTCAGGACTATGCTGCTGAAAATGATAAAATGAGGGGACCAGGGATTTAACTCAGTGGTGCCATCACCTGCCTTGCAAAGCGCAAGGACCCAAGTTCAATCCCCGGTACCAAAAAGAAAAAGAAAATGATAAAATGTACTATCTAGACAGAATAATATTCTAGTCTCTATAGAACAAGTCAACATGTTAGGCAGGTAGTTGGACCTTAGCTGGCCTAGGGAACAAAGGGGATGGGTGGAGGAGGCCATAACAGCATGTACTACTTCCAGTTAAGTAAAGAAAAACTTCAATGTATAATACATTTATAATCATTTGTTAGGTCTCAGAACCAAAATGATCCCACAGAGCCCACTGACATCTTGAGATTATACACTGTGCACACTCCTTCTGATATATCTGGCCACCTGACCATCTAACTTGAGAATATGGCACACTGCATTCCTGGTTGACATCCTACAGCTCAGTATCAGGAAGGAAAATGTTCTTTAAGGCTCTCCTGCCTTGGGCTGGGACCTGGTTTAAATTAACAATTTAAGTCCCTGAAGAAACACTGATCATCTAAAACAGACAGGATGACATTTTGCATTTCCAAAGTAAATTCTAAGTAAAACATAAGTATCATGATTTTCCTAATTCTCTGAATCCTTTATGTGTGAATAAAAATGAATCAAAGTTGCTTAAGGTAGAGATGACATCCTGGCACTGCCTGTCTTCTTGATGGAAGGAGTAACTCTATAAGTACTTTACAATAAACTCTACTGACACTTCTATAGGACCTATGCGTCTTGACTGAATTCCTCAATCAAGAGCACAAAGAATCAAGGGCCAAGGAAGTGAGTGGCTCATTCCTAACTGCACACCTGGTTTCCTGGTAACAAATGTTGCTTAATTTACTTACATGCTTTGGGTCTCTGGAATCGAGGCTATCTGTGGCTATTTGCAGGTCCTTGATCACCTTATGCTTTTCAGCAATTTCTTGCCTTTGCTTTTCCATTTGCTTTTCTAGATCCAGAGCTTCCTGGCGTAATTTATTTAGAAGTTGTATTCTACCACTTAACTGCTTGAAAAGAAGGTCTTTCTCAGCTTCTGAAATCTAATTCCCCCATGCCCCAAAATATAATTAATAAAGGACAGCAATATTGATTTATAAAGATAACATCTTCTAAAATTTTAAAAATATTCTACCAACATTTTTTTCCCACCAACTTTTTATTTAAAATAATATGTGGTAGTTATCTAGGCACTCCACACATATCTTACATTTTTATGCTTCTTATATGTAGAAAACCTTATTTTACAAAGTTTCTGATAATACCAGGTACAAATGAAGTTATCATTCTAGTATAAGCAACTTGTAAAAGATTAACCATAATCATAGTATTAGGATAGCTGACTTTATATGAGCACTTACTGTGTACTAGGCACTGTTTAAAACTGTTTGCACACTTTAATCCTCAAAACATATCAGACAGAAAGTATATTTAATCCCAGTTTTGTTGTTGTTGTTGTTGTTGTTGTTTGTTTGAAACAGGGTCTTGATATGTAGTTCAGACTGGCCTTGAACTCACTTATGAAGCCCAGGCTGGCCTCAAACTCAAAGCAGTCCTCCAGTCTCAGTGGACTACCTGCTAGGATTACAGGTGTGCGCCACCAAGCCCAGCTTATCCCAGTTTTACAGATGGAGAAACTGAACCATGGAAAATTTGATTGTATTGCCCTAGGTCATACTAAAAGGTTGTAGAACCAAGATTCTGTATAGCTTTACAAAATTTTACTACTATTCTACAGTTTTCCATTTGGTTTAATATGAAAACAGTCAACAATGAATTCTTCAATAGCAAGAACTGTATCTGCTACTTCTAACAGTTTTCAGCAGATTTATACAAATGTACAAATGTTTCTCAAACATCTATACAAGTGTGAAAAAATTATGCAATTCCCCATAATCACAATACTATAATCAGAAAAATTTTGAAAATTCTATGTTATCTGAGAAAATTATTCAATGTACAGAATTGTAAAATATAGAAAACTCTCATTGAGATTTTTATTTTACTGTTAAGAACCAGGTTGAAACTTACCTTTGTTACCTAGTCAAGAAAATAAACAGTGTAAAGAACAATGTAAGTTTATATTACTGAATTGAAATAACCATTTTTGCAAGCATATTTTCGAAGCATGGGTTTTAAAATCACATATATTAGTTACATCTGTGAATCTTTCTATGTAAAGCTTTTATCACCACTATTATGAAACAACCTTGATAGCTCCCTTCAGCTCACCTCCAACTTTCAATTCAAATGGAAGCCTGGTCAGATCTGCCAATCCTACCAGGAATCTGTTAGCTTGTTTTTCATGCCCACCTCCATATTCCTGGTTCAAGGAAGCCATTTCTATCTCTTGCCTAGACTGAACACTGGCCTTCTAAAAGATACACAAATCTCTTCTCTTTCCATCTCTCTCATCCCATTTCACTCTCGTGCAGATGCCACTGTGACCTTATATAAAGACAAATGGGATCAGCTATTCTACTGAGGCCCTTCAAAGATTTCCCACTGTTGAATAAAATTCAAACTCCTTAAGATGGCCCGTGAAGGTGCCATGGTCTTCAACCTTGTGACTCTTTAATTTCATCTTCCACCACACACTCCCTCATTCTGCATAGGAATCTTTAATCTGAAGGCTCCTGCACCCACAGTTACCTCTGCCTAGAGTAACATTCTCCCATCTCTGCCTCACTGGCTCCCATCCTTTGTGTCTCAGCCAAAATGTTACCTCCTCAGAGACCGTTGTCTTCACAACCTAAATTATATCTCTTTGTCTCTCTTAATTTTTTGTTTTTCCTACAGCACTGATGCTCTTTACTTTATATTCCTTTCTCTTATTTTTAAAAGTTGTTTATTGTCTATTTCTCCTGAAAGTCTGACCAGGAGGAAAGGATATATGTCTGTTCTATATATTACACAGGACTAACCCTAGGCAGTGACTAGGATATAATAAATTTCCAGGAAGCTCCAACCAATTTCTGCTTACTATATAATCTGAAAGTAACACTACATTGTATCTTTTAAAAGAATTCATACTCTAAATCTATATTCTTTTCGGTACTGGGGATCGAACTCAATCTACATTCTTGTTCTACCAATTATGGCAATGATATTACTGTCATAGTTTTGAAATGCTGATTTTTTTCCAAGTCAAAAATAAGTTGCACATTTAAAAACTGCCAAGTTATTTTTTATAAATTTCCCACATGCAATTATATCATGAGTTTAAACTGTTTATGACACACTTTGGTAATGTAGAAGAATATACTAATTCATTTTTTGTATACATTTTATATCCTTTTTTGTCTTGTTTTTGACAATGCATATGTTATAGAAGAGATGTCTTCTGGTGTTTAATCCGGGTCCCAGAACCTCACAAGTAGAGGGTGCTCAATTAAATTAGAATCTGAGATATCCAGAAGCAACTTTCTTAAGTAGCCACTCTCCTAATGAAGTAGGACTACATCGTTCACATAAATTTTGAATTATTTCTACACATCTTAAATGTGTTATTAGGACATGATCATAAAAAAGATAAATATAATTGATAAATGCTAGCGTGATACTTGACCCTGAAGTATATTTTTCCATAACCAGAACAATACTGATTTAAAATTTTATATGGTTATAAAGGAAAAGCACATTTTATTTTTCATTTCATCTTAGCATGGATGCTTTAATTTTACATACTTTTTTCCGTTGTACAGCTTCTTCTAGTTGTTTAAATTCTTCAGTAGTTCTTAAAACTTTTTGTTCTGCTTTTTCTATTTCATCATGCAGTTCTGACAGTCGCATTTGTGCTGCAAATTTAAAAACCATACTCGGTCACATACACATACAAGAAACATCTTGAATTCTGAAATTTCCTTTTAATGACTTCCTTCCTTTCAATTAAATTCTGTCACAAATTACAGAAATTTTTGTTTTTTTACTGGAGACTAACCCCAGGCCCTTAGCACTTGCCAAGCAAGCATTTCATCCCTGACGTAGACTATACCCCCAGCTTTTTTTTGGCTACCAGGCATCAAACTCAGGCCATTGCTGCTTGCAAGGCAGGTGCCGGAACCACTGAGCTAAATCCCCAGCCCACAAATTACAGAAATTTTAATGAGTAATTACTTATGATGGCTTTCATTTCTATCAGTTAACCCATAAAACTAAATTGCTTCATGATATACAGAACTATAATTGATCTATTTGTAAAATTCTTAACATGAAAGGGACTTTACTTCATATTTCCAATACTAGTGCACTTTTAAAAAAAATTTGTTTATGTATTTATTTGGTGGTATGTTTTTTGTTTTGTTTTGTTTTTTGGTACTGGGGATTGAACTCGGGACCTTATGCTTGCAAGGCAGGCACAATGCCACTGAGCTAAATCCCCAGCCGACTAGTGAACTCTTTTGAGAGAATACAGATTTACTGGGAAATATAAATGTCATTACGGTATAACAAGATTTAAGATATCAAAAGAGACACAGCACTGTTTGAAGGAAATGCTTTATGATGGGACACAGTATCAAAAAATTCACTATTGGAGGTTATCTTAAATCAAGCACCTTCTACCTCAGATTTGAATTTCTCTCCCTCTCCCTCTCAAAACTATAACCCTCTGAAGCTAGCTTGCATATGTGTCTGATTTATATTTGCTTTTCCCCTCCAGAGCCTTGGACGTAGTATATGCAGACAAGGAGCACTTAGTTTTTTCTCTCCCCTTGCCAAGTCGGCCTCTACTGGCTTTCCTTGTCTTTCATTTAGCTACCAAAGGAAAATGAACTGCTCATCTGATAGTGAAAGCCTAACAATGAGTTATGATTACTGGGATGCACAAACTCAGGTTGCTGTTTTCTTTCTTCTGCAGCCACACAGCTGAGTGGGAAAATGGATTCAGACTTTGACACTGGTAGCATCTCCTAAGTGCCTGTGGCTTGACTTCTTCCCCTGTGTGAATTGTTAGAGGTGTTATGATCCTTCATTTAGATTGGGTGGGGAGGGCGCGTAAGGAGGAGTCAGAGGCAGTCTTAGGTCTAAGCCTAAGAAAATGCTCTGCTGCTGCTTATGCAGAGCCCTGCTTCTGGTTTTGGCTACACATATGGGATTCAATAAAAATGGTTCTTTATTTGCTTCAGTAGAAGTTCCAATGCTTGTTGGCAGGATGGAAATATACTTTATTGGATCTTCTGGATATGTTGCCATGAATTACTGTCAAAAACCCCATTCTCAAGTATAACAGAAATCTTAAAAAAAAAAATCTGCTCAGTAAGTCACTACTTGTTTAGATTTTTTTTTATGTAAGCAACAATAGCATCAGCATGTTTAATTAAAAGAATTACGAGACAAAGTTGGCTTACATATTTAATCTTTCTATATTTTTTAAGAATTTAAAATAACTTTGTTTAACCTGCACTTATTTTCTTTTCTTTGTCTTCCAGTTGTACGTCCAGTGGTGTAATGGCTCTCAAGGTCACATGCTCATTTTTAAGCTGCTCCCCTTCATCCGGCTCCATCTTCTTGATCTGTACTGCCTGGGCATTACTGGTAATGTAACTCTCTGTGGCAAACATATTTCTCTTGTATCTGGATTTGCCAATATAAGGGCTCTCATCAGGGGCATTATCAGTTTGAGCATCCTACAAGCAAAATAAATGAATAGATTTATGGTTTAACCCTAACTTCCAAATAGTCAGATGATATTACCCATTTTATTAATGGTAAATGTACCAAAGAATGGCCTAAATTTGTATTAATTTTACATAGCTAGGAGCTGAAAAATTTATATTCTTCTTCTTTTTTTTTTTTTGGAGACAGGGTCTCACTATGTAGTTCACACTGCTCTGGAACTCAACTCTGTAGCCCAGGCTGGTTTCGAACTCACAGTGATCCTCCTGCCTCAGCCTCCCGAGTGCTGGGATTACAGGCGTGTGCCACCATGCCTGGCTATATTATTCTTAATATAGCAAAAAGAAATTTGAACTAAGAATGGTCTCAAAACAGATCCTATTACTAAAGAGTGAAAGTATGGATTAATTGAATAAAGAACTATGTACATTTTTTTTGTGATTTTTTAGTATAATACTTAATTGTTCAATTATCTGGGTAGGCTGGGAGTCTGTGCCCACCTGAGTTCAATACCACCAAAAAATTAGAAATCTGGGTGTCTTATTTTGGTTTCTTGATTAATATAAGTAAAATCTCAGGCCGGGGATTTAGCTCAGGGGTTCCACCACCTGCCTTGTAAGCACAAGGCCCGAGCTCTATCCCTGGCACCCCCCAAAAAAAAACCCTCAGTTTAATAAACTTTAATTTTGAATCTAAAACAATTAAACAATATGTGATACTGTTGGAATTACCAGGTCTTAGAAAGTTCTCTGTTTTCTATGACACTGTACCAATAATGCTTGTTTTAATACTCAACCCAATGAAAACTGAACAAACCATACAGGCAGATGATTCTTGTATGGTACTGAAACACTCTTTAAAAGTTTGGATTTCAGGAAGCTGATCAACGCATAGTCTCAAGAGAGGTAACTGAGGGTTAAGATGGCAGCTTTTGGTTATAGATACAGCTATCAGAAAAAAATGCTCTTGGGGCTTTTACCTCTTTAGGAAACTGTTCTAACTTCCTGAGCCGAATAAATCACAGACTCAACCAAAGTACTGTTAACTCTACTGATGCCCTAACAAGAAAGTAGAGTTGTGATGAAATTCCTTAAGTATTCCCACCACCAGCCCCACTCCACTCCATCTCATATAGCCTTTAATTCTGGATTACTAAACAAACAAACACCTCACCTCTGATGGATAATAATTTAGTGGCTCAAATTTAGCATCAATTTTATAAAAGGCGAGTTCCTGTTCCAGCTCATACTGCTTCTGACACGCTCGTGTTAGTTCCATGTTCTTCCGTTTTAGCTATTGGCCCAATTTGATGAGACAACATGTAGGATCAATAAGTTAGTGCCAAGGTGCAATGATGTGGCAAATTTTCATCACAACTAATAATTATATTTTTAAAAACTACAGCAAAGAGCACAATACTCAGAATATTTTATCTTGACTCTATTCTACAAAAAAGAATTACAGATTATTTCAGAAGAGATCACATTAAAAGACCTTTGAAGTTTACCATACTATTTCAGAAAACTACAAAAATTTTTAAAATCACTTAAATTTGTTTTATCTAAACATGAAGATAGATCTGTATCAATTATTTTTAAGTACTTACTTCCTAATTTCCCAATAATTAACCCTCATTTATTTAGCTTACTCTTTAGTTTTAACGACAGCTTCAATTTATAGTGGGAATAATATTTAACAGTAACTAGAGAAATGATTGCTTTCAACTGTACTGTTGTAGTAATTTGTGATTTAGTGGCATCTTAGTTAAGTGTTCAAACATTATTTTTGTAATAGAAGGTAAGGAATATAAATAAGCTCAATCAGATCCAAATATAAAACATTAAAACTCTAAGAAAGTAATTCCACTATAACAGTGCTCAAAAAATTTTCAAGTTAGAAGGAAATATGAATCATCTAATTACCCGAATTTGTAAATAAAGAAATTAAGTTTCAGATTGGTGAAGTGACTTGTCAAAAGTTATATTTAAACCAGTGGCAGAAACTAAACATTCTATTAACTACCAGTACCTTCTCTCTTTCTCCTAAAACAATCCTTTGAGTTCATTTCAAAGGTCCACTAAGTGATTTTTATCCTTTTTCTATTTTGTCAGTGTTTGACAAGAGATAAGACAAAAAGCATGCAGAAATAGTTCATTAATATAAAAATCAAGTTGAAGAGAATAAAAAAATGAATATTTTACAAGACTAGGATATCACACTCGTGCATGATGTAGCTTACAGTCACCTCCTGATGATCCATCAAAATGGAATCACTATTGTCCAAGTACTGATTGTGTGCTACACGCTGTACTGCATGCTTTACACATGCTATCTCACCAAGTCTTCACTAAACTGAGATGATAAAAGATGCACAGAGAGATTAAATGACTTGCCCAACTGTACAACTGTGTGCAGAAGAAACAGTGTTCACCAAGTTTCCTGATTTCTAACACTCAGCCCACTTCTCAAGATGCACGTGCTGTCCGGTTGCAGGATGTTTTAACACATGGCTCACGCTGGTATTTTCAATGAATGCTTATAAGGCCCTGAGTCTCAAAGAAACAACTCAGGATCAATAGCATCGACTAATCTTGGGCTTCTGTCCCCAAAGTTCATTGACAATAGAGCTAAACCAAAGGCAAATGGATGGGTTTCTCTATACTGTATTATGTAATAAATAGGAATTTCAAAGCACTTTTGTGTCTTTTATAGCCCTAGGCTTAGCATATAGTACGCAATTAAATTTCTGTTGAAGAAATGCACGAATAAGAGCAAAATAAGAATTAAAGGAACAGAAATTAGGCTAGTTGCAGTACTGACTGTGGATAATCAAGAGATGACTGCAGTTAACATATTTACTACTATGACAAATAATACAAATTCTTTCCCCCACATTCAAATTCATTCTCCAGTGTACACATCCATTATAAAAAAATACATATACATACAAGCACATTTCCCAACAAGGCAAGCCAGGTTCAAAACTTAAGATGTAAACAAGCATATTAATGCAAGTTATCATGCAAACCATGAAAAATCATTATGCAGTTCAGCCCTAAAAGAACTACCTTTAAGGAAGAATAAAAAATCAGCAGAAAAGAGCCTGCAAGAAACCAAAACAAGAGCTAAAAGAAGAAAGAAGCAATCAGATACTGTCACAGAGAACTCTAGAGAAGTGAGCCGTAATACTACAAGCTTCTCTTTATTGACAACTTACCATAAGAAGATGTGGTTACTAGTACTTGCACTAGTCAAATGGACACATTTTATCATTACTTTATGAATTATAAATTTATCACCTTCCATTACTTTGCTTGATTCATTTCAAACTATTTTCACATTCATAACCTCATTAAATTCTCACAAGTCTAAGAGACTAGCAGTAAAAATAAATCATAGGAAACTGAATAAAAACTGAATAAAACAAGGAAATTTAAGTACAAAAAAGAAATAACTTGCAAAAGTATAAGGACTAAGTTCAGTTAATACTAATTGGCAGTGGGGTAAGGCGGATACTATGGTTTAAATGGCCACTGGAAAGCTTATTTCAATGCTACTTTTATAAAGTAACTGGTCTAATGCATAAGCAATTACTTTATAAAACTGGACAACATTATAGAATTGTAGATGCAATTTGTATTAGATATTCTACACAATAAAATGGAAAACAATTTTAGAATATAAGCTCTTATTTAGGACCCAGAATTTTTTTTTAAACATGTAACAGTCCTTTGAAATAACAGAAAAATGCACAAAAGAATATAAGCTGTCATTTTAAAGAAGAAATATAAAATATAAAGTTCTGTTATTAGGTATATAATTATTTAGTATTGTTATGTATCTTTGACTTTTAAAATAACTATGAAACAAAATCTCTTCTAAAAAAAGAACAAAATAACCAGTAATGTATACATAATACTCAACTCTCCAAACACTATAGAAATATGAAATTAAAACAATAACAAGATTCCATTTTTCTATTTCTATAAATTCAAAATAATAATAATAGTCCAATTGGAAATTGGACTCTCCTACTTAATGTTATGGCAATGTAAATTGGCTAAAAGCCTTAGAAGTGGGATTTGCATTTATCAAAATAAAAAAAAAATTACACAGCAATTCTACTTGCCATGATTCATACTAAAGACAAGCCAAGAGCTAGGCATGTTAGCATACACTTGTAATCCCAGTACTTGGGAAGCTGAGACAGGAGGATCATTATGAGTTCGAGGCCAGGCTGGACTACATAGTGTGTTCAGTGACAGATTGAACTACACAGTCAGAACCTCTCTCAAAAGAACCATGTATACTGTTTTGTGAAAGATAAGATGCAGGCTAATAATACAAGATTCCTTTTTTTAAAAATCACAAAAATATTCAAGGAAATATTGTATTTAATTACATATATATTGTATAAACATGGAAAAAGATTATATATTGACACCTGGGGAAATGGAGTAGGGGAAGAATAAACCTTTGTTTCTATGTATACATTTGTGTTTTCTGAATTTAAATAAATATTCTTTATGTATGCAACTGTTTTTAATTCATTAATAACAATAATAACAACAGAGATGAACACAGCCGGACTTCTAATAAAAATAATCACAGGAGGGGGCCGGGGATTTAGCTCAGTGGTTCTGCCACCTGTCTTGCAAGTGCAAGGTCCCGAGTTCAATCCCCAGTACAAATCAATCAATCAATCAATCAATCATAGGAAAAAAAAAGCAAAACTGTTAACAATTTATAAAACATTTATTCACAGCACAAACATATCAATAACATTAGAAATAAGCAAAAGAGAAAACTAGGCAGATATAACAAACCATAATATGGAGATAGTACCAAGATTTTCAACAGGTTGACTAACATGCACCAGAGAGTCAACATATGTTATATTTTATTGTAAGTAAAAGATGGGCTCTGTGTTCTAAAAAATAACTATAACTCAGGAAAATTTATTAAATGTTCACAAATGTCACTACCATAGAAATGTTCTATTTTTGTGTTTTAAATACAAATATTACATGATGAAAATCATTCACTGTTCATATAAAATTGCTTGCATGTAATTCTATGTTGGCTTCATTACCCATCAGTCCATTCCACTTTATTATGGACTGGAGAACAACTGAAACATATATAATTTAAAATAACTGACACTGATCTGAAGGCATGCAGCTGAGATAATCTGAAAACTACCTTCAAATAAAAGGCAGATGAAGGAATCCACAAATGCTCTGAATTTTTGAATAACAGAGCTGGGGAAGCTGTCCTGACTTTCCATCCTGTTCCCTTTTCTCAGGCAAAGAGGAGTTTAAGGAAGAGGTATATAAGAATTCACAGGAGCTGGGCGGTGGCGCACGTCAACTGAAACATATATAATTTAAAATAACTGACACTGATCTGAAGGCATGCAGCTGAGATAATCTGAAAACTACCTTCAAATAAAAGGCAGATGAAGGAATCCACAAATGCTCTGAATTTTTGAATAACAGAGCTGGGGAAGCTGTCCTGACTTTCCATCCTGTTCCCTTTTCTCAGGCAAAGAGGAGTTTAAGGAAGAGGTATATAAGAATTCACAGGAGCTGGGCGTGGTGGCGCACGCCTGTAATCCCAGCACTCAGGAGGCTGAGGCAGGAGGATTGCTGTGAGTTCGAGACCAGCCTGGGCTACATAGTGAATTCCAGGTCAGTCGCAACTACATGGTGAAACCCGAGACCCTGTCTCAAAAAACCAAAAAAAAAAAAAGAATTCACATTTCAACTTACAACTTCCTTTCCCACACAGAAAAGGGAATGCTTTTTCTCTGTCTTTAAAAAAAGAAGTGATTAGGCGGAATTCTTTTCTTGTTAACAAATTGAACAGCCCAAAATGACAATCTTGAAAGAGCAATGGAAAAAGAATAAATATATCGAGGACTTTATTATTTGATAATTTTAAAAAGGTGGATACCAATGTTTTTTTCTGCCTTCAGAAAAAATAATCTAATAGTTTACAAAATTAGATAGTCTGGGTTAAAAAGTGCTTAAGGCAGAAAAAAACATCTAATAGTTTACAAAATTAGATAGTCTGGGTTAAAAAGTGCTTTTTTACGGTCAGTTAGTCTGTCTTCCTAACATTTTTAATCTTTCCCCAAAATCTTGAGACTATAATCATCCTCTGCCCATTTCAGTGAAAGCAAACACATTCTAATTATCATATTTTATTTCAGTAGGAATTTTTCATTACTAAATGAGTACTATTTTCCTATGATTCCATTTACTAGGTTATAACTGTATGTCATGGGGATTTGGTATATAACTTTAAATCCTCTTCTATCAAAAAGTCCACTGAATATCTGAGAAGTTGTCACAGCTCACTGAGTCTTCTGTTCTCCAGCCTGAACACCCGTTCTTTATGCCATTCCTCATATAATGTGGCCTCAAAATCTCTGAAGCCTTCTAGTCAGGACTATCTCAAACTATGCTACTGAGTTTGTCCAAATCTTTCCGTTTTAATACCATTTCCCCTATTTTAACCATAAGACCAATTACATAAAATTTGGATACTGTAGGTAAAGGTTAGTTTGAAAATGTTCTGTAACTACTACTCAGAAATGACGACTCTCAAGAGCTTGGTACATATTCTGCCTTTTCTCCAAGTATGCTATTATGTATTTTTAAGTATAGATTCCTACTTGATTTACTGTTTTGCAATTTGTTTTTGTTCGCAAAGTAAAATGTGTCAGTATCTTTCCATGTCATATATTCTGTTCAAACACATGGATGTCCACTGATACTTTAGATATTTGCAAATTTTGCCAATGTTGTAGTGAATATCCGTGTGTGTGTGTGTGTGTGTGTGTGTGTGTGTGTGTGTGTGGTTTAATCTATGTATACATGTATGTATACACATACACATCCTTAGATATATAATGCTATGGTTTGGGTCTAGATGTCCCCCCAAAGCCTCATGCGGTCACAGGCTTGATCTAGAGTGTGTGAAGCTGGAGTTGATTCATGATGCAATGCTAGGCTCCAGGGCACTAGAATTAAGTGTGAGTGCTGCCCGCCCTAAGAAGCCTGAATAAGATAAAAGGGTCAGAGTGACAGTGTTAATCTCTCCCTTGTTGCCTCTGCTGCCTTTTGCACACCAAGTTCTTTCTCCTCTGCAATGCCTGTCTGCCATCTCTGCCTCAGAGCCAGATGATTACGGACAAACCTCTACAAACTGTAAGCCAAATAGACCTCTTCCCCTCCAACTTTGGGTATCGGGCATTTTGTCTCAGCAAAGAAAGAAAAGTAACTAACACATATAATATATACTTTCTTGCTACCACTTACATATGCTTTTGGAAATGCAATATCTAAGACATATGGTATATCTGTTTAAAATGTACTTAATTTTGCCAAATCACCCTTTAAAAGTTTTTGCCAATTTACAGTGTTACTCACAATGTTGTTATTTTAAAAAAAATACAAACACTGGTGGGATGGGAGGGTGATAGAGAGAAAAGATGGAGCAGGAAGTAAAGGGGAGGAGAAAAAACACAAATATCTGGGGAAGTCTTAGCAACTTCTCATATTGTAGGGTTGTACCTTTGAGTATCCCCTCTGTACTGGATAGCATACTTCACATAATCCAACTACACATATCAGCTTTTCAGGTAGCACAGTGCACAGTCAACTACAATTCCTAGCCTTTTGCACATATTCTGTTACATGACATCTTCCCCAAACTGTGGTCAGGAAGTTGTGCTCTACCTTAAGAGAATACAGCCAAAGCTACATAAAACACAGACTCACCAATTCATTTTTTGTGTTTAGGTCACTTTCCAGTTCCTGACAACTCTGTTTCTGTAACATGGCCTCCTCTTTTAATGATTTGTTCAATTTATCTTGATTTTTAATTTCTTCAAGGAAGCTTTTCTGTTTGTTCTTAAGCTCTTCGGTTTCTATTATCTTTTTTTCCAAGTCTCTTTCCAGTCTTTCTACCTCTTCTGTTGAAAAAAATGTAATAGCTCATTGTATTTACTATTTGAGGGTATTATTTAGATGACATTTTAAAAAGATAATGCCTAAGTTCTTTCTATTTAGTGTGTTGATAATGAGTTTTCTCCAGTTCCCTATAAAAAATAAAACACTTTATTTGATTTCATTAATTATACATTGAAGGACTTATACAAAGAGCAGAGGGCCCTTCATGATTTGGTCGCAATTCCCTCTTCAGCCTCTTCAAACATACGTATCGTATCTCCCTGCAACTTCCCTGAAATGATCTAGGCTCTTTAAATTTATGATGCTTCTCACCTACAGGCTTTTATGCATATTCTTTGCCTGGAACTGCTGTCATCTAACTCCTGTGGGCCTATTTTGTATCCTCTAGGCCTTAAACTCTAAACTATTGCTTTGTTTTGTTTTTGAAACAAGGTCTTGCTATGTAGCTCAGGTTGGCCTTGAACTCACTCTGTGGTCCAGGCTGGCCTTGAATTCACAGCAATTCTCCTGCCTCAGCCTCTCAAATGCTGGGATTACAGGCATGTGCCACTGTGTTTAGGTCAGGTCTTAAATTTTAAAAACCATGTGGCCGGGGATTTAACTCAGCGGTTCGGTGGCCTGCCTTGCAAGTGCAAGGACCCGAGTTCAATCCCTGGTACCAAAATAAAACAAAAAAAAAGCATGTGGAGAAGATTTTTAACCTAATATTCTATATTAATAGTAATTTCTATATTTCCCACAACAGTGTATTTATAAAATGACCTTCTTATGCATTATTTACATTTTTAATGACTCCAAAACATAAACTTCACAACAAAAAAATGTGGTTTAGGGATTCCAAATTAATAAAAATTTACCAAGTTTCTCAGTGTTGGGTTAAACCATAATAAACTGTCATTTTTAATAGTAAAAAATGGACTAAGGTCAATTTCAAATGGCTGAGTATACAGGCTCATTACACAATACTCTAAAAATGACTATTTTCAATCTTTCACTTTTTTCTCCAACTTCCTTATACTCAATGTAGTCTCTTTCTCAGCTGATGACCACAGTGAAAAAAACAGATGCCAGTAGGAACTCTCTTATTTTCTCAACACCAAGAAATAAAATACCTTTATGTACCCCCTCCAGAAAAAACTTTGAACTTGTGTGTATGGTGGTACACACCTGTTATCCCAACACTCAGGAAGCTGAGGTAGATCTACTGTAAGTTCAAGGCCAGCCTGGGCTACATAGTGAGATCAAGGCCAGATTGAACTGCATAGCAAGATCCTCTCTCAAAACCAAAACAACTCTGAATTCTTCCTTTTTAACAAATGATATCATCCTCTAGCCAGTTAAGATAGAAGCCCGGAAATTATCCAGTTCCTTAGAAAGTGCTTGGATTATATCATATCGAAATTTTATCAACCCAGTTTTCATTTCCACTGGTAAAATTTAAGTATAGGTTACTTCTAGCTTGGATTACTGATATGGCCTCCAAAAGGCCCATTTATCACCACTTTGCCCTGGTCCCAGTCATTGTCCTACATCAAAGATGATCTCCTTAATTTATAAATTACATCATGTTAGTGGTTTTACACAGCACCTGGAATAAAATCTAAACCCCAAAGCTCTGTGCCATTGCAAAACCTCCCATCTCTCCAAAATTTCTCTTGAGTTTCCCTATATTCATATTGATCTTTCAGTTCCTTGAACTCAGCAGGGTCTTTATAATTCTTCCTCAGTGACACTCTTCATATGGCTAATTCTTTCATCTCTGCCTTCAGCTTAAATGTCACTTGCTTAGTGCAACATTCCTTTACACTACACCACAAAGAGGGCTCCTCTCTGTTGCTTTACCTTGGTTTACTTGCTTTTTATCTGTGTTCTCCACAAAAATATAAACTGCACGAAGGCCAGCACCATATATTTTGCTTACTACTACTTCCTACATACAGTGCTTGGTGCACAGTATATTGAATACATACTGAACTTATTAACTGATTTATAGTACCATTTTCCTTAAAAGTTTTTAAAGCATTATTCAATTTATGATACAATATATTTTTCTAGATAACTTCTGATAATAAATTCCTTTCTCAAATTTAGATTTTTTAAAGGGTCATCTTACCTAAACTGAATCTCTCAAAAGCCTCCTGTCGATCCTGAGTAGTTACTGGCTGACCTTCCAAACTTTCCAGTGAACGGAGGTGGAAAATGATAAACTGGAGGTAATGAGGAAGGGTCACAATTGGATTTTCAACTAGGATCAGAGAAGTCAAATCTTGAAGTGGTTTCAACCTGCTTACATCCTGGAGCTGAAATGATATGATACTAATATTGATATATTCACTTTAAAAATCATAGGGTTGGGGATTTAGCTCAGTGTTGCCGCCGCCTGCCTTACAAGCACAAGGTCCCGAGTTCAATCCCTGGTACCAAAAAAAAAAAAAAAAAAAAAAAAAAAATCATAAAATTTGTAAAGGAAGGAATAAATCAAGGAAATTTCTCTAAACATGACAAGAAGCCATTTGTAAAACCCATTACCCAAAAGTAGCAATATGAGGGAGGAACTAGAAAGGGAGCAAATGAATACAGTGCACCAAGACAGTATTAAGCATTTTCTGTATATCACTTCATTTGTGATTCACAACTACCTATAATAAAAATACCATCTTAATTTTATAGTTAAGAAGCTGAGGTTCAAAGAAAGTAGGTGACATATCTAAGGCTCAGAGCCTCTAAGTAAAATGAAACAGGATTTAAATTCAAGCCTTTGTCTGTTTGTTTGTTTTTGGTGGTTTTTTTTTTTGGTGTCAGAGATCGAACTCGGGCCCTTGTACTTGCACTTGCAAGGCAGGCAGCAGAACCACTGAGCTAAATCCCTGGCCCCAAGCCTTGGTTACTCTAAATCAATTATCATCTCATATTAATTGTACAAATTGAGAATTGAAAGCTTACACAAAGCTTTACTAATTTTTCAGATAAAGGAGTTATATATGATGGTCAACAGATAGAAGGATATGTAGATATTCACATTTTTAAATTAAAAGTCTTATACAAAGAAGGATTTTAAAAAGTTGAGAAACACTACTCTAAATAGTTAATGCGAATAATCCTTTTCTCAAGTGAACAGTCTTAATGATGTCAATGTCAAATATAAACTAGGACGAAAACATCATTTGAAATTAGAAATAATAAATATTTCCTGAATTTTTCTGTTACTCAGCTGACACTGAATACTACATAAGGATCAACTACTACTTTGAGGACTATTTGTGTCAAGTTTAAGATTCAAAGCTACCAGACCAGGGATTTAGCTCAGTGGTTCCACCACCTGCTTCTCAAGTGCAAGGTCCCAAGTTTGATCCCCAGTACTCCCCCACCAAAAAGTAATAACTTAAAAGATTCAAAGCTACCTCTTCCCATCAGGCCCATAAGCTCCAAGAGTTCCAAGTCAATTTTCTACAACATGACATGGGGCATGGGCTCTGAGGCTCTGAGGCTGTCATAGTGAAAGAACAGAGTTATCAAAACTTTATGAATATGAAACAAAAAGTATAAATACTGCTTATAACACTGCATTAAATAAATACTGCTTCTTATTACTGGGCCCATGAGTGGAAGTATAAAAAATATAGCTGTAGACATATAGTGTTTTAAAGTTTTAAAAGCATTTTCATACGTATCATTTAATCTGAGCCTTATAATACTCCTGATAAAGAAGAAATTAACAAGTTATTTACTATAATTCAATTTATTTACTTATTTGTTTAATTTTTTTTTTTTGAAACCAGGGATGGAACTCAGGACCATGTGCTTGCAAGGCATGTGTGGCACCATTGAGCTAAATCTCTGACACTGTATTTCAATTTAAACAGTAAATTTTACAGGGATTAAAGTCAAAGAAGCCAAGTCTAGGCCTGTATTTGAAGTTAAATCTTTTATTTTTGATTCTATGAGTAATGTTCATTAAATTATAGCATGTTTTTCCCAATTTTAATATACATTTAAATAAATCAGTTTTTACCTAGAAAATGCTTACTGAACAGCTAACTGTAAGTAAATACCAGAAAAAATAATAAATTATACTCCAGAGAAAAATATGCATCATTAACCAATTATATAATAACAAAGTTGCTCTACTATTAAAAAGCTAGTGATCAACCTCCTTTAACACCCTATGCTATAATCAAGGTTAATTCTTAAGTTTGAGAACTTTACTGTGCTGTAATTTTGTCAGATAAAGGAACGCTACTATGCATTTAGTAATCTGGATTCTGGCACAAGCTGTGGCTTTGGACCAGCAATTTGACCTCTCTGAGGGTTTACTTGTAAAATGGGAATAAAGTCTCTAAAACAATAAACGCGAAAATGCCAATAAATCAACTCTTAGTTATTATGGAATCTATGAAATATGAGAACTGCCTATATTTAATCACTGGGTTTTAGGAGAATATGGTCTTTGGTCAATGGACTAAGAAATCCCATTTAAAAAATTTAGGTTTTTAAACAACAAACCCTAAAATTTAAAAAACAAATTTCTTGCTATTTTAAATAACTTACAGATGATATTTTGTTGCCTTTCAGATTGAGGATTCGCAAAGATTTCAATTTCTTCCCTAGCCATATAGGAATATGCTCAATTTCATTTCCTGCAAGGTTTAGCTTTTGCAGATGACACAGATTTTCTATGCCTTCAATTTTGCTGGAAACAAAAGGAAAAGAGTCAGATTTAGCTAAATACAATGATGTAATCCTTCTCTTCTCATTTTAAGAGCCATGGTTCCATGTAGGGTTAGTTTTCATAATTTTCATTTATCAACCCTTCTCATAAATGACAACAAATTAGCTAAAATCAAATTTATCAGAATAGGTAAACTGCCAACCCTTTAGCACTAAGCCCAGTAATCCCAATAATATTATCAGAGTTCAAGACCTTATAACATGAGTAGCAATCTTACTGTTACTGTGAAAAGTACGAGCAGACAGTCAAAGGAAACTGGACAACTCAACAGGCACATACTGTGCTATTTTCTATAGTCTTGCCAAAGATTATCCCAGAAAGATTAATTATGCTGGCAGGATATGGGAGGCCTTAACGTGATACTGTGCTTATGAATACAAGTATTCTAATCAGAATATTTAATAAAACATTTATCACCCATATTGATAAATTTGCAGTGATAAAATTTTTCTGTTTACTAGTTAATTTAACTTCTTAATCAATTTTCACATAGAGCAAAATTTCTAAGCTTCTCTATTTTCATTTTTATATTACTGAAATTATTTTCATCAACATCAATTCTTTTTTATACAAATTTTATTTACAACTTTGATAAATTATGTTTTATTGCCATTTCATTTTTGTCTTAATGTAACTTCTGCAACTTCTAGTCATTTGCTTTTGATATTTATTAAGTCTGACTCACACATTTATATGTTTATAACATTTTCAAGATCTGCCACAGGGGATATAGCTCAAAGGTAAGCTGCATGCTTAGCACATAAGAGGCCCAAGATTTAAACCTTAGCACCAAAAAGACAAAACAAAACAAAAAGATTTTCAAGATCTGATTCTTCATCATTTTGTCTATAATAAATCTGAAACAAGATTAAGAGCATATTTCTTTTCTTTTCTTTTCTTTTTTTTTTTTGGTACTGGGGATTGAACCCAGGACCTTGCGCTTGCGAGGCAGGCAGCAGCACCACTGAGCTAAATCCCCTAAGAGCATACTTCTTATAGCAGTGAGAAAAGAATGTCAATGAGATCAAAATCATAGGGGTAAAACATTCTGCTTCATGTCAGTGCTCTTTACACAATAAAACAATGAGTCTCAGACCACATCTGTGGAAATTTCCTGCCAAAAATGGAATTAAGATAATGTTTGGTACTCAAAAAAATATATCTGCATCTTCAGTAATGTTAGATAAAAAATATCACTCTGTATATAAGTAATGCCAAAACATAAAGATAGTTATCACATGCAAAGGGCTAGCAATCAATGGAAAAGGATCAAAACATTTGCTGTTTCAAAGGAGCCCTTACTATAGGGATAGCACTTGCCTACAAGGAGACCCTAAAGAGCTATTACTCACCTGATTTTGTTATATGATAAGTTGAGTTCTCGTAATTTTAAGAGCTTGTCCACCTTCTCAATCTTTTCTATTAGATTATAGCTCAGATTCAGCACTTCAAGCTTAACACATTTTTCCAAATTCTCGATATACTAATCGGAAACAAATGAGTAAACACTTTACACAACAGATACCTTGACATACAAGCACAATATTTAAGTATGTACATCACGGGCTGTTGTGTTCAGCCATCCAAGAATAATAAACCCTTACTACTTTCTTAGACAATCCTAGTGTATCTCTCCTTAACCATAAGTAGCAACTCCATGAAGTCACTAAACCTTCCTTCTTCCAATGTGGACAATAACATTTTCTACATATACTAAGAAGTTCAAACTGTCTAAGAATTCTCCTGCTATCATTCCCACTACCTCAACTTTTCTGTGATCCTCTTCTGTACAATCAATACACCCTCTACTACATCAATGTATTCAAACAGTTCTCTCCAAAATTGCCATCCATTTATCCATTCCACAAATACTTAACATGGATTATGTGCCAAGAGCTCTTCTAGGTATAGGAAATACAGTGGTAAATAAGAAAAACAAATTTTTTTGTGCTCATTTGCAGTGACAAAGAGGCAAACAAGATATTCAGACAGTAAAAAAAATTAACAAGAAAATAAAGACAACATCTTGTGAAAGAATGAAAGACAGATTGTGTCCGTTGTGTACACTGCTACAGCACTACTGCCTTGTATACAGGTGAGCTGAATAAATACTTCTTGACTGAATGAGAGGCTGACTAATTAGGATTGCCTTAATAACAAGAAGCCAACCTGAGGATCAGTGGAATAGACTGGAAGACACAAAAACAACTCCAGATGTACTCAGCTACGTCATCTTTGACAAAGGAGCTGACCATCCCCACTGGAGGAAAGATAGCCTCTTTAATAAATGGTGTTGGAAAAACTGGATCTCAAGCTGCCAAAGATTAAAACTAGACCCTTATCTTTCACCATGCACTAAATTAAAATCCAAGTAGATTAAAGATCTAAATTTTAAAACAGAAACACTAAACTTGCTAGAAGATAAGTAAGGCAGAACTCTTGAAGACATTGGCATAGGAAAAGACTTTATGAACAAATCCTCAGTATCATAGGAACTAGCAGAAAGAATCAACAACTGGGATCTCATCTTACTAAAAAGCTTCTGCACTGCAAAAGAAACCATCAATAGAACTAAGAGACAACCAATCGCTTCTCGGCCTTTTGGCTAAGATCAAGTGTAGAACTAAGAGACAACCTACAGTGTGGAGAAAAAAATTTACCAGCTGTTCCTCAGACAAAGGACTATTATCTAGAATATATGAAGAACTCAAAACAATCAGCACCCCGAATATAAGGACCCAATTCAAAAATGGGCATCTGAATGAACAGACATTTCTCAGACAAAGAAGTAAAAGCAACTAGTAAATATATGAAAAATATTCCACATCACTGGTCATTCGAGAGATGCAGATGAAAACAACACTGAGATTCCACCTCACCCCACAAAGAATGGCTGCTATCAAGAAATCACACAATAACAAATGTTGGCAGGGTTGTGGGGAGAAAGGAACCCTTCTCCATTGTTGGTGGGAGTGCAGACTGGTGCAACCACTATGGAAATCAATATGGAGATACCTCAAAGAGCTGGGACTAGAGGTTCCATTTGACCCAGCCACCCCTCTGCTGGGTATCTTTCCAAAAGAATTAAAAGAATCATATCACAATGATATATGCGCACCTATGTTTATAGCGGCACAATGTGTAATAGCTAAAACTTGGAAACAGCCCATTTGCCCATCAACTGGAAACTGTATAAAGAAGATGTGGTTTTTCTATATAAAATGGAATATTACTCAGCCATAAAGAACGAGAAATTAGATTCATTCATAGGAAAATGGATACATACTGAGGATATACTCCTAAGTGAAATAAATAAGTCACACATGTGTAAATACCGAATAGTTTCTCTGGTGTGAATAAACTATAATAGTACCTAAGATCCTAATGAGATAACTGACAATATGAAATAGGAAGAAAAGGGATAAAGATGTAGGGAAAGTGGGAAGGGTAGGGGAAAGGTAATAAGGGAAATGAAAAAAATAGGAGAAAATGGAAATAAAGTGTTTGTAAATAGGGAGGGGAGGATGGGGTGAAGGAGGGCAGGGACAAGGGGAAAAATGAGAACCAAGACCTGTCATGTATAGGTACAAGATCCCAATAATGAATGTAACTGTACTGCATACCTAAAATGTACCAATAAACTCAATGAGGAAAAAAAAAGAAGAAGCCAGTTGGGTAAACATCTAAGGAGAGAAAATACCAAGCTGAGGAAAAAAATGCAAAGGACCTGAAAGAATGAACTTGGTGGGTTTGAGAAACAAAAGAAATACTTTTTAACTGTTAAATCCACTGATTTCCAATTTTATTTTACTTGACTACCCTATAACATTCTTTTATCACCTTTTTCGCCTGAAGTTCTCCCTCCTTAGTCCTCTTCTCATTGTGCTCTGGCCCCAGTGTTCCAAGAGCTCCTCCAGGCTTTTTCACAGGGTTGGCCTCACCTGTGCATGTTCTCTGATTCTCCCTATTTCTCCTCTTAGCCCTAGGTATTCTTCACACTAAACCCTGAATGCCCAGAGACTGAAAACTCATTTACCTTTGTATCTACCTCCACAGTCTGACACAAAGCCTGGCATATAATACCACACAGTTAAGTAATTTTTTTTTTTTTTGGTACAGGGATCGAACTCGGGTCCTTGTGCTTGCAAGGCAGGCGGTGGAACCACTGAGCTAAATCCCCAGCCCAGTTAAGTATTAATTTGATATTTCCATTTTAGAACTTTTAAACACCAGTATGTTTCCTTTTCCCTTTTTTAATTATACAAGGTAAAAAATTGCAGCAATATATCTCAGCAAAAAATTCAAACAAAACATAAAAGCACACAAGTCCTCATATCCTCTTCCCAGACTCCCTTCTCCTGCAAAGTTACACTGCTCATTGTAAAGAGACTGGCATGTCTAGTATCCGGCTCTTTCTATTAATTTTCATCATATACAAACAGAATTTTTAAAAACTATTTTGAGACATGATAAATAAAATGCTTTAGAATTTATTTTATTTTCCCTGCAAAAACTGTGGACATTTTTCCATGTTAACACACTGAGCTCTTAATCACATTTTTAAAAAATCATAGTATTTCATAGTATGTTATACTATAATTTATTTAGCCAATCTATTGACAGACATTTAGTTAATTCCAGTTTTTCTATTTAAATAATGCTCAATAAAATATCATATTGAGACTTTTGTATTCATGTGTAAATAGTATCTGTAGGATAAATAACAAGGAATAGAATTGCTGGGTCAGTGACATAAATTCAGTGAATATAAACTTAATTACTAGATCAATTAAGAACATTTAAAATTCCGATAAATACAACCACCTACCTAAAATGCTCAATCAATTTACATGTCCATAGAACACAGACTAACCATTTCCCAAGCCCTTTTGTGTTTTCCTTTTTTTTTTCTTTTTGGTGCCAGGGATGGAACTCAGGTCTTTATGCTTGCAAGGCAGGTGGCAGAACCATGAGCTAAATCCCTGGCATCCCAACCCTTTATGAACACTGAAATAATCTTAAATCTTGTCCATTGGATGTAAACGATGAAAATTCTCAAACTATTGTTTTATTTCTTTTATATTAATGAATTGAACACATGCTCACATTAATATTGATCATTTACAGTACTTTCTGAGCTTCGTATTCATATCTGTTGCATATTTCCATTGTGTTCTCTCTCTCCTACTCTTATAGAATTGTAGGAGATCTTTATATAAATTTGTTTCTTTTCTGGTACCAGGTATTGAACTCAGGAACTTGTGCTTGTGAGGCATTCACTGAGTCACTAAGCTAAATCCCCAGCCCTAGGAGATCTTTATATTATACGGATACTGTTACAGATATACATACATAGTTATAAACACTACCTGTCAGATTTTTGCTTTTAATGTTTAAAAAGATGTCTTTTATTAAACATGTCTTTTAAATGTTTCTGTAAGCTAAATCTATTAGTATTTTTCCTTGTGTTACTAGGGGTTAGTGTTTGCATAGGATATCCTTCCCTACTATAATATTTAAAAAATATTTTCCAGGCATGTAACTCAGTGGTGCGACACCTGCCTGGCAAGTGCAAGGTCCTGAGTTCAATCCCTGGTACAAAAAAAAAAAAAAAATTCTATATTTTTTCCTGATACTTTTATAGCATTTTTTTGTTGGTTATTTTGTTCTATTTTTATTTAGCTCTTCATAGTCCTAGAATTTTTGTAAATATTGTGGTAGAATCTAAGTTTTATTTTTTTCACAATTAAAAAACTAAGCTATTACAATATATTCATAATTGTATAATTATGAAGAAAGTAATGAACACACTAGTAGAGCAGAGACAGCAAACTTTTTACAATAAGGCCAAATAATAAATATTTTTGGCTTTATGGACCATACAGTATCTGAGACAATTATTAAGCTTTTCTACTACAGTGCATAAAAAGCCACAGAATAAACAATTTGGCCATGTTCCAGTAAATCTTTATTTATAAGACAATCTGTCCTGAAAGCTGTAGTTTATCAATCTCTTTTCTAGAGACAATCAATAATGTATAGAATATCAGCTAATAGGGAATTATGAATTTGGAGATAGTCTTTCACTGGAAACAATAAAAAACCTACTACAAATTAGATAACATAAGATCAAAGTCCTCTCTTTTTTTCTCTATTTTCTTTTTTTGGTATTTTTAAAGCACAAGAAAATTAAAATCAATGTGTATATTCAGAAATTGTTGGAAACTTACCCTAAATTTCTTGCCACCATCTTTAGAAAGTGAAAGGTTCAGCGATTTTACCAAGGCCAAATTGTCCTGTTTAGTGAGTTTTTTAATGAGGGCCTCTGTAATATATCGGATTCCTACACGTGAATCAGGTGCTGAAATTACAGAAAAAGATTATCAGTAGAGGGAGACACAAATATTAAAAAAATCATTTTGATACTACATAACAAAAAGCTTGATCCATACAGATGTAAAAAATGTAAAGTTACCTACTTCTAATCACAATAACTAATACTTTACAGTATTTTATAACAACATTATATTATAAATTTTAGTTTTGTGCTAAGTGTTTGACATTTAAAATTTTTAATTTTTATATAAACATTGATAGAAAAATTATTAATACAGTGGACCCTCAAGTTACAACTGGCCTGACATACGAACAACTTCAGTTACAATCAGCATTTTAGTTTTAACTTAGGACTAAAGTCTTGAATTAGGACCTGAATGCTGGTCACTTACTTTTCCAGATGGTCTCAGATACAGATTTAACCCTTACAGAGTTCTGGAAGGAACATTACAACATTCTTTCCTGTGTGGGGTTAACCCATAATGTCTCTCTAAGGATCCTAAGATCTGCCCGGAAGAAACTGTACCTAAAATTATACAGCACAAAGACTTTGAAGGCTGTGCAAAGGAGCCTGACCAACTTGAGTTACAACCAGCCCTCATGAATTAATTGAGTTCACAAGTCAAGGGTCCACTGTATTCTAATTTATGAAAAATTATTTGCACAAGATTGTACAATTTCCACAGGAAATAAAGCTTCCTCTTTCTAGAAATTCCCTACCCCTAACTGGCTCAGATATCTTCACCCTCACCCAAAAGCCTGTCTTCTCACTGTCCTTACATAATTGCTATCATTTCTATTTAGTACCAGGATGGGAATTACATTATGACCAAAAATATAAGCTCAATATTTTCCATTTCTGTGGTCAAACAAATTATTAGATTAAAAAGCATTACCTTTCTGGTCTTTGTCCAAAAGCATACTGTTTTTGTCTGTACACTCAATTTCTTCATGTGACCATTGTCCTTCAGAATGCAAAGACAGAATCCCAGATCCAAGTAAAGGTGAAAGCGACCTAGATCTCATATTAGATGTAAGAGATGGTGGACTAGGAGAGTGAGATGATGGTGACATGTTTGTTTTGGAGAACTTTTGATGCAGAGACCCTTTCTTCATTTCAAGAACACAGCCTGGCAATCATCAAAACCTGTAAGAGTTTTCACTACATTTAGCAAGGTTCATTCTTCTTCAGTGATCAAGTTATTATGTCTAGGGCTTCAGTGAGAACGGTTCTCCAAGCCCTAGTGAACGTGACTGCATCTTGTGAGTCCCTCCCCTCGTCTAGGTGTCCGTGTGTCCCCTACCAGGGATCATGGCTACACTGTAGCACAAGGACCCACTGCAACTAGATACTTCCTGAGTATCTGGTAGTTTCCTGAGAAAGATGGAGTAGGAATAAAGAACACAAAACTTTGCCCAAGGACCCTTCTTGCTTTTGATCTTGATTTTGCTGTTTTAACTGGAGTCCTATAAAACCAGTAGTTTAACAAAAGGGAATTGGCAATTTTAGTGTTGCTTCAGCCTATAAGTTGTCCACCTCTCTGTAAGAAGCCCCTAGTAAACTTCTGGATAGCTTAACAAAAGGGAATGCATAGAATATGGCTTGCCAAAGAGGTCATAGACTCTATGACCCTTCCCAATACTTTACCTATATCTCTTCCATCTGGCTATTTGAATCCTTTGTGATATCCTTTATAATAAATGGATAAATACAAGCAAAGAGCTCCCCTGAGATCTATGAGCGACAAGCCCCTACAGCAAGGTAATAGAATCCAAATGGAGTAGTAGAAGCTGTATTTTATAGCTAGCCAGTTTGAAATACAAGTAATAACTTATTACTTGCAACTGGCATCTGAGGTTGGTGGCAGTCTTGTGGAACCGAGTACTTCAACTGTAGGATACGACATTCTCTCCAGGTACAGAATATCAGAATTAAATTGAATGAGAAGACATCCAGCTGGTGACCACTACAGAAGTGCTTGGTGTGTGTAAAAACAACTCTCACACATTTGGTGTCAGACGTAGTAGGGTGCTATGAAAGCAGGGAAAAATACTACTTTTTTGTATATATATTAATATATAATATGTCTCCACAGGTACATGCGTAATATACAGACTAGGATTATGAGAGAATTTATTTTTTAAGTAGGTTAGAACATCTACAGCATATATAAAGGAGAGCTACAATTAACAGAATTCATTAATATATTCAATTAACCAGCACTTAGCAGATATAATCTCTTCAAAGACTATACCTACAATCATTCTAGGAATACTTATCTTGCTCAAAACACTTCTAGAATTCCTCTTTGGTCCCGCTTGAAAATGAGATACATTACTTTAAACTATATTCCATTTTTATTTTCCCAGTTCAACCACTGACTTTATATAGTAAACATGACACTAAATAAACTTTGGTTACTTCCAAAAACATAAGCCTCTCTCAAAATATGATTTGCTACTACTAATATTAATTCTAAAGACTATAATGGTAATAACTAACATTTACCGAGGGCTAAGAACCACATGTTGTGATAAGTTCTTTATGTGTATCATCACAGTGAAAGAACTGAATAACACTCCATGAGACAGGTGGTTACTATTTTCCATTTACTGAAGAGGTTAATTTGTGCAAATATTCCTAATTGGTTAAAACAAGATTTGAATCCTGATCAGATTTCAAAGCTCATATTCCTCATTGTTGTGTCATATAGCTGGAGGCAGATTACATTTTCTGGAGGCCAGATTACATTTGCTTCATTTTCTACCACCTAGCAAGATGACTTATTTAAGACAAACAATAAGCAAATGTCACTAAATAACTTAGATTAATGGATTACACTATTAAAACAATTCATAAAAGAAAACCAGGAAACTTTATACAAAGACCACTGAAATCATCAAAACACAGAATGTGAGACCTGACTGAGCTAAAGTGGCTCCATGCTGGCCTGCTAATGACCCAGGGACTGTAGCTTCCCCCTCTCCTTATCAAACATTGGGAAGAGCTGCTCAAACTATAAACAAACCTTCATATGCTAATTGCTAACTTGGTTAACAGCCCACCCAGGGACAAATGGTATGACAAAAGGTGACCATAGAACATTTCCTGCATAAGATAAACAGTGTGTTTGGAATCTTACCCCTTTGTAGCTGTGTGAATGCCCTGACTTCTTTGTTTGAAAAAAACCTATAAAACCTATGTACAACCCTGTAACGGGGCTTCACTTCTCTTAGAGAGTGGAGTCTGCACGTGTGTAGAAAAACTTCCTTCAGTTTTATCTGTATCCCAGTACTTGGTGTTCTCTCACTGGCTTGGTATAACAAGATGAGTAGTTTGAAAAGAAAAACAAAAACTACTACAAAAATTTTAAGTCAATTATTATTACACAGATATAAATTACAATATGGCCAAACACCTCACTTCATATCTTCCTTCACTGGTTTAAACTGCTAACATCTCTATCTGTACCTTTGTTTGTTTGTTTGTTTGTTTTGAGACAGGGTCTCACTGTGTAGTTGAGACTAACCTGGAACTCACTATGTAGCTCATGCTGGTCTCAAACTCACAGCAATCCTCCTGCCTCAGCCTCCTGAGTTCTGAGATTACAGGCATGCACCACCATGCCCAGCTTCATTTTTTTCTTATGTAACTATCTGTATGAGTCAGAACCACCACCACCACCACAAACCCCTATTCCCCCCTATCCATTCACATAACTGCTATTTATGTCATGGCCACAAGACTCTTGGTCCTTATTTCAAAATCATGTAAAAACTTTTACATGTAATATTATACTATTCTTCTACGGAAAAAGTCTGTGATACTACTGATTTTATGCTAAACTAAGCTGATCTAGCATTTGCCTTCTAAACAAGAATAATTCAAATTCCACAAGAATTAAGAGGCATGCATTTAGGTAAAATTATAATTAATGATGAGTAAAATGAAATACTGGACAATAAACAGTATTTTTATAAAGGCAACGCCCCACAAAAAAACAAGAGGGGAAGGATTGGGCCCAGTCTCACTTTTAAATATCCTTACCCATTCCATATCATGACACATTATATAAAAGAATAAGTGTGCTATACGCTACAGAAGTAATTTATAGTTTTGAAATTACCTTGATTTTTAAAAAAGCATCACTTTTTTTTTTTTTTTTTTTTTTTTTTT